AACATGGACTCTGGGGAAGGGTCTAGCCAGTTTAACCCAGGAAACATACATGGCATGCTCACATCCCTCATGGCATCTATGAGCTAGGTCAATTCTAGGCTGGAAAAACTTGAATTGGTCACTACAGCCCTCACAATGGCTGGACCGGCCACGGCAATCCCTCCAGCAGTGGTGGAGTTGCAATCAGTTTCTCCAGCCATCACCTCGGATGACCAAGAGGTTTACCCTGCCCACATGATACCTGAGCACCTCAAAAAAGATATCCTGGAAGGTAAAGATGTCAATCTTGCCTCACTGCTAATTGCCTCCCAGGATATAGTGGAACATAAGACATACGCTTATGACGATATTTCTGTGGTGGTCAAATCTAGGGATGCACGATTAAATAGGAAGCTAACTATTCCAGAATTCGTATTAGCATTTGGCATTTATCGTGATGTGATCTGTACGGTATAACCCCACAGACGTGAGGAGTTTGACTTATATATGCACAGGCTGGTGGACCTGGGCAACAAATATGGTGGGTCAGCTTTCTATGACTACCATAGATCATTTTCTGCCAAAGTGTCTGGCGCCTTCTCACAGTACGGGACAAGGTCCAACTGGAGTAAGATTGATACGATCATTTTTTGCAGGCACTTTGCAGGTCTAAGAGCACCGGCCTGTGCATACTGCTCCTCCATGGCTCATACTGCTAATTTTTGTCCAACCACTGCGAACGAACCTACCACCTCGCAGGGCACTAGTTCCGCTGGTTCGGCAGAGAAAATACCCAAAGACAAACTGGGCCGACCTATCACGTTTTTGGGGAAATCCCAAATATGTAATCATTTCAGTGTCGGTGCATGTAATTACAGCGGTTGTCGGTTATTGCATATATGTTCAAAATGTTTTAGGGCACATGCGAAAACCATGTGTCCAAATAAAATGTACCCTAAGCAATACTTAACTGAGATAAATATTTCTGTACTCACGGCATTACTGTCACGACATCCATCTAGACATTTGGTAGACTTCATCATCACTGGTCTATCACAAGGATTCCATACTGGTCTCATACACATGCCTTCAGGAATCCTTGAATGTCCTAATTTACAATCTGCACAACAAAACCCTACAGCGGTTAGCACACTCATAGCCAAAGAAGTGGCAGAGGGCTTCCTATTGGGACCCTTTCAGTCCCCTCCTTTTTCCACATGGCGGACAAATCCCATTGGTATTGTCACGGGGAAATCTTCCCACAAACAAAGACTTATCATCGATCTGCACCTCACACCTCTGCCACACCTAGTCTGAACTCCCTTATCCCCTCTGAGGAATTTTCACTTCAATACTCCACCATAGATCACGCCATTACAGCTATCATGCAGGCAGGGGTCGGAGCATGGCTCAGCAAGACTGACATTACAAATGCCTTCAAATTATTGCCTATCCACCCTACACTATGGCACCTGCATGGCATTAAGTGGGCCGGGCACTACTACTTTTTCTCACGCCTAACGTTTGGTTCAAAAAGTAGTCCGGCCATTTTCGACGTATTCGCCGAAACATTATGCTGGTTATTATTAAATGTAGCCAGATGCCCTACAGTTATACACTACCTGGATGATTTCTTACTGATCGAAGAGAATATTTCCCCTCCCAGTAGCCTCATAGAAACCATCAGTCTTTTTAAACAGGTGGGCGTTCCAGTCTCCCCCACCAAAACTGAAGGACCAGATACAGTCATCACCTTTCTGGGAATCATGCTAGACTCAGCCACCATGCAAGCCAGCCTGCCATGCACCAAGATAGAGAACATTCTTACCAACATTAACCTCTACATACACCTCGGTACTTGCAACCGCAAAGAATTGCAGTCTCTACTTGGGTCACTGAATTTTGCCATGCGCATTATACCTCAAGGCCGGGCTTTCATCTCACGGCTCCTATACATGAATTATATTTGCGTTGTTTCGTTAATAGCACTCAAGACAATTGGTCCGAATTACTGCCATAGGCCCAGTTTGCTAGTAACAATGCTGACCATGACTCCTCTGGGCATAGTCCATTTTTTGCTAATAATGGCCGGCATCCTACTGTCCTACCGGCTGTTTTTTCTGATACAGCTATTCCTGCTTTGGATGACCGCCTGGCTTCCATCAGTGATACTTGGGTTAAAGTTCAATCTGCTGTGGGTACTGCTGCTGACAGTTTCAAGCATTATGCTGATGCACGATGAAGTGCCAACCCTGTTTACCAAGTGGGTGAGAGGGTTTGGTTATCTTCTCCTAACATCAGGCTCAAAGTCCCTAGCATGAAATTTGCTCCTAGGTTCCTTGGACCTTTTCGTGTCCTTCGTAGGCCCAATCCTGTTGCGTACTCTCTGGACCTTCCTTTCCCAATACCTAATAAAATAACTAATACCTTTCATGTCTCCTTACTCAAACCTCTTGTTTGCAACAAATATACTGCCCCCAGTTGTTCCTCCTCCTTCCTTAGTTGTTTCTGGATAGGAAGAGTATGAGGTCTCCTTCATAATTGATTCCAGGTTTTTTGGGGGCACTTTACAGTACTTGGTGGATTGGAAAGGTTATGGACCAGCCACTTGTTCTTGGGTTCCGGCATCTGATATGCATGCTGGCCGCAAGATTTGCTATTTTCACGCCAGGTTTCCTCTCAAGCTTGGTCCTGCCCGCCCGGTGGGAGTTCTTCAGGTGGGGGGTAATGTCATGTATTCCGTGCATAAAAATTTGATTAATGGCATTTACTGTTCTGACAGGAAAAGTTGTGCTGAGCAAAATTACTGCTCTGACAGGAAAAGTTGTGCCGAGCAGCAATCAATCCACAGGAGGGTTTGTGCTGAGCAGCAATTATGCAAATAGGAACCTGGTAACTGCCTCTTGAGTCAAAGGCTGGTTACAACCAATTGGATTCCACAGGCGGGGTATTTAGGCCCAGTTCTCCTCTTGCTCAGTGTGGTTTTCCCTTGTGGTTGTCCGAGAGTGCGTTATTGATTCTGTTTTTTCTGGTTATTTGACTTTGGCATTGTTTTTGACTTCCCTGTTTTCTGGCATCCCTGACCCCTGGCTTTTCCTTATCGTTGTGTCTCTTTCTGTGTCCCTTGACCTCGGTTATTCCTGACTATTCTTTGGTACGTTAGTCCGGCCATTCTAAGGTCCGGTATACGTTACCTATCAGTCCTCTGTGTTACACAATCAGTCCTCTGTGTTACACAATTCTACGTGCTGGATCACACTGTAATCCTGACACATACAGACACACATATAGAAACACACAAAATGTTTAAGTCACCCTCCTGTTTCCTACCTTTTTGGTGCAGGAGGGTGACTTTCCCTGGGGTCCAGTGGTGGCTCAGATTGATGGGAGTCAGAGTTCTCACTCTGACTCCCTCTTCTGCTTCCTCCCGTGTGGCTCTCTGATAGCTGGTAGGAGTGACCGGGGCAATCACTTCCTCCCAGCGTGTGATGTCATCACAGGGGGCTCGGTCGCGCTGTTAAAGCACCCAGCGCTGACCGGGCCCCCTGAAAATCCATCTCCATTGGGTGGCCCTAACAGCATGGGCCACCCGATGGACCCTTTGAATGGCGACCGGGACGCAAAAGATGGCGGAGGGTACCCGGTCACAGTGGTCTTCAGGGCAGTATGTACGCCACTGCATGCAGACCAATTTGATGCAGTGTACAGCGTATGGTCTGAGCACTGACAGGCTGACCCCCCCACGCCTTCAACCTCTGCAGCATACTTCTATTTCCCAAAGACAATGTGACGAACCGCTGGCACTCCGACCGAGTACCTCCGCCAATTGATGCTCCTAGCGCTTGCCGAGGACTCAGAGCACTCCAGCCGACACCATCAGCAGTGCAGACCTCTCTTCCAAGGCCAGGATCCAGCTTCCAGTGGGTGAACCTCTCCTAAATCCAGAGCGCAGGAACCAGGAACAAAACAAGCTCTTGAAAGAGCTCACTCTGGGGAGCATGTGATTATAGCAATCCCCAGATGTAGTTATCCCTTTCCCCAAGCATGAGCCAAGGCTTCAAGAAAGGTGCAAGTAGGTCTGGTTTATTGAGGGCTACCTGCCCGGTATTTATGCAAGTTTCCACCAGGTGGACACTCCCCTAGGGGACCTGATGGAACAATGGGACACATATTGGATATTAGGCAATCACAGACAATACAAACAAAACACTCCCACAGTGACATCACAATCCCTCCTCTCTATCCTGGAAATAATTGGGAAGTAATCAAATTATCTCCCAGGAGAGAGGCAAGACTCCATTAAGCACATGGTTACAAAAAGACATAAAATTACACAATGTTACAATTACTACATAAAACATATACATGCAACATATTCCCAGATAGCTTAGATCTGAGCGCACATTATTACCAAATGGCGCTCAGATCACATACATACAGTTCAATCGCCACGGAGCCAAAGTCTTTTCCATAGTCTTTCGTTACACGAATAGGCTCCATGGCACAGATATCTGGGGTAGCACTACTCACATACTAAAAGTCCCGTATGCCCCAGCAGAAATACACAAATAAACCTTTCTGCAGGGTAAAATACAGCTATCAGCACAGGGGCCATAGTCGGAAGGCAGGAAGCTAGCCAGTAGTCCACTCCAGGCACAAGTGGAGAAGGGCACTTCGTCACAGACATCCTCTGGATATGACGCTGAGCATGTGCACTCAACTTCTTTGGTCGACCACGGCGAGGCCTGTTCTGAGTGGAAACGCTGTATGGTCTTGCCCACTGTGCTGCAGCTCAGTTTCAGGGTCTTGGCAATCTTCTTATAGCCTTGGCCATCTTTATGTAGAGCAGCAATTCTTTTTTTCAAATCCTCAGAAAAGTTCTTTGCCATGAGGTGCCATGTTGAACTTACAGTGACCAGTATGAGAGAGTGTGAGAGCGATAACACCAAATTGAACACACCTGCTCCCCATTCACACCTGAGACCTTGTAACACTAATGAGTCACATGACACCGGGGAGGGAAAATGGCTAATTCCACTTAGGGGTGTACTCACCTTTCTTGACAATGGTTTAGAAATTAATGGCTGTGTGTGGAGTTATTTTGACGGGACAGTAAATTTACACTGTTATACAGTCTGTACACTTACTACTTTACATTGTAGCAGAGAGTCATTTCTTCAGTGTTGTCACATGAAAAGATATAACAAAATATTTACAAAAATGTGAGGGGTGCAAGCCTGGACTGGCCATCGGCCACACCAGGCAAATGCTCGGTGGGCCATGGTGGCCATGGGTCGAGGCCGGCGGGGAGGTTCCAGGATCCCCATGGCCAGTCCATGCAGGGCCGACACTATCCGAGTGCCAGCCGCGCTGTGTTCCATGACGGGCCAGTGGGGAGATCAAAGATCTCCCTCACCAGCCCGCAGGCAGTGTTATGCGGTTGCCGACAGGGGGGAGGGAGGGAGAGGAGGACCCGGAAGGAGTTTTATCTTGCAGCCCTGCAGGTTCCTCTGGCGAGATCTGGAGCACTGCCATGGCCAACACCCTGGGTCTTGTGAGAGTGAATTCTAGCCCCACAGGCTAGAGAGTTCACTCACCACTAGACCACCAGGGATGGCCGCACAGTCTGCTTAAACTAACACACGAAGAATGAAATGTTGCCATGTTTTTATTCACAGTGCAGGTGGAAAAAGTATGTGAACCCCTAGACTAATGACATCTCCAAGAGCTAATTGGAGTGAGATGTCAGCCAACTGGAGTCCAATCAATGAGATGAGATTGGAGGTGTTGGTTACAGCTGCCCTGCCCTATAAAAAAACACACCAGTTCTGGGTTTGCTTTTCACAAGAAGCATTGCCTGATGTGAATGATGCCTCCCACAAAAGAGCTCTCAGAAGATCTACGATTAAGAATTGTTGACTTGCATAAAGCTGGAAAGGGTTATAAAAGTATCTCCAAAAGCCTTGCTGTTCATCAGTCCACGGTAAGACAAATTGTCTATAAATGGAGAAAGTTCAGCACTGCTGGTACTCTCTCTAGGAGTGGCTGTCCTGTAAAGATGACTGCAAGAGCACAGTGCAGACTGCTCAATGAGGTGAAGAAGAATCCTAGAGTGTCAGCTAAAGACTTACAAAAGTCACTGGGAAATGCTAACATCCCTGTTAGCGAATCTACAATACGTAAAACACTAAACAAGAATGGATTTCATGGGAGGATATCACAGAGGAAGCCATTGCTGTCCAAACAAAACATTGCTGCACGTTTACAGTTTGCACAAGAGCACCTGGATGTTACACAGCAGTACTGGCAAAATATTCACAAGCAGCCCCCATAAACACAACACACTGCAAGTAGCTACCCCACACACATTTGTCCCAGACACATGCTCACAAAGACATACATTCACACACAAGGATACTTTGCTAGACAAACACTTTCAGGTACATACACAGGTTGACACTCAGAAATACCCACACCTGCACGGCTATGTCTATACCACACAATCATGTATATGCGATTAGCATAATTGCTAACTAAATTTGTTTATTGCAAATTAATTTAGTTTGCAAATTATGACATAACTACAGTCAGTGAGCTCACAACGCAGCGGCACTGCAAGTCTCTGAAACAATGATTTTATAGACCAGCTCTCTGTACCCAGAATTGCAAGCCGGTCCTTCAATACAACTGGTGCTGTAACCTTATACACACACAATGAACACCTATTTTTTTCACTTTGGTGTTAGTGAGAAGCCTCATGTTTGAATTTCGGACTCACAAAGTCTAGAGCCATCACTGCTGGCACACATACAGATACAAAGACATACATATCAACACGCATACAGATACAAACACTGACATATACACAGATACAGACACACAAAAACACACATACTTATAGAAACATTGACTCATGCAGATACACAGACATATCTACACCCTGTTCCAAATTATTATGCAAATTCTATTTAAATGTCACAAAGATTACATATTTAGTTTTTCAGTAACTCATGGATGGCATTGTGTCTCAGGGCTCTTTTGATCACTGAAAACCATCTCGGACACCTGTGATAATTAGATTGCCAGGTGAGCCCAATTTAAGGAAAGACTACTAAAGGAGGGTGTTCCACATTATTAAGCAGAGCACCATTTTCATGCAATATGGGGAAGAAAAAGGATCTCTCTGCTGCCGAAAAGAGTGAAATAGTTCAATGCCTTGGACGAGGTATGAAAACATTAGATATTTCACGAAAACTTAAGCGTGATCATCGCACTATTAAGAGATTTGTGGCTGATTCAGAGCACAGACAGGTTTGTGCAGATAAAGGCACATTGAGGAAGATTTCTGCCAGATCCATCCATCGGATCAAGAGAGCAGCTGCTAAAATACCATTACATAGCAGCAAACAGATATTTGAAGCTACTGGTGTCTCTGGAATCCCATGTACATCAAGGTGTAAAGTCCTCTGGAGTCTTGAAACTGTGCATAAACCTTCTATTCGGCCACCACTAACCAATGATTACAAGCAGAAATGGCTGCATTTGGCAGAAAAATACATGAAGACTAATTTTCAAACAGTCCTGTTCACTGATGTGTGCCATGCAACCCTGGATGGTCCAAATGGATGGAGTAGTGGATGGTTGGTGGACGGCCACCCTGTTCCAACAAGGATGCGACGTCAGCAAGGCGGTGGTGGAGTCATGTTTTAGGCCGGAATCATGGGAAGAGAGCTGGTCGACCTCTTTAGGGTCCCCGAAGATGTAAAGATGACCTCTGCAAAGTATGTGGAGTTTCTGACTGACCACTTTCTTCCCTGGTACAGAAGGAAGAACTATCACCATCCCCAAACACTTTCAGCACCCCCACACGGTCACCCCCTTTACCCAGCCACAATCACCCCTCCTAATCCTGTTACTTTCACACCCTCCAACAATAGCCGGAATCATGGGAAGAGAGCTGGTCGACCCCTTTAAAATCATCTTCATGCATGACAATGCACCATACCTCTGCAGCAATGGCTGCTATGGGGAAAAAACGAGAGAAAGTGATGGTGTGGCCTCCATCCTCCCCTGACCTCAATCCTATTGAGAACCTTTGGAGCATCCTCAAGCAAAAGATCTATGAGGGCGGGAGGCAGTTTACATCAAAACAGCAGCTCTGGGAGGCTATTCTGACATCTTGCAAACAAATTCAAGCAGAAATTGTCCAAAAACGCAAGTTCAATGGATGCAAGACTTGTGAAGCTGCTATCAAATAAGGGGTCCTATGTTAAAATGTAATGTGACCTGCTAAAATGTTTAAAAAGCTAAAATGTTGTTATAAGTTTGATTGAAATAGCTTTTGATTTCAGTAAATATGCTGCAAACACAACAAATGACAATTTTCAGTTCTTTACAACCTATAAAGTGTTTTGAAACTTACTGTGTGTAATAATTTGGAACAGTGCATTGTAAGTTTTTTATGTTTAAAAAAAAATACTGTTATCATTAGGTTTGTTTAATAAAATTTGAATTGTACTCTTAATAGTTGATAACATGAGAATTATGCTGACTTATTTACATTTACAATTATTTAGGTAAATGAGAAAAATATCATTTGCATAATAATTTGGAACAGGGTGTACCTGTGTATCTCTTAACCCCCCTTTTGTGTGTCTTACCCATCTGTTGAATGTATTACCCCTTTTTGTGTATCTCACCATCCCTTTAGTGTATTTGTAGCGGGACCTGGGTAACCAGGCCGGCTATTCCCTTTGGTTAGAGTAGGTCAGACCCATTTCCCCAGTGACAGGACAGGACACAGTTCCAGGATACAACATTTGACAATGTTTATTGGGCACACAGCTTTTTATGCACAGACCCGCAGGGGGTCTCCATCCAGCAAGACACAAAACACATACAGGATGGGGCTGGGGAACAGATAACCATCTCCCGCTCTGGGAGATACTAACAGGACACAGGGACACGCATGAGTACACTTCACATACGGGGGGAGGGGGGACTTTGGGGCTCAGAACCCCAGGACAGGGTGGGGGTACAGGGTTATATTTTATATGGGGGAATAGCTCTGGGTCCCATCTGGGATACCTGCTAAAAGTGGGGCGATCGGATATACAGAGCCGGAGATATCAGCGTCAAAGGTCTGGAGCTCAAGGCTCTGTACATCCCCAGAATCAGTTCCATGGTGTTGCTTGGTTTAGTCCAGTGAATTCAAACTTCGAGCCTAAACCAAGCAAAGACCAACCGGCTGAAATGGCGCGAATCAAATCACGTCAATTAGCATTAGTGGAGGAAGGAGTTTTAATGCACAATCCGAAGAAAGGGTGCGAAACTTGGCTGCACTTATTTGCGCGAATCAGCTCCCAGGGACAGGAGGGGTTTCACTGCCCAATCGGATGGAAGGGTGCAAAACCCCGTTTGAACAAGCTCTCCTCCTTGGATTTGTCGCTCGCTCCCTGCGGCGACCAATCAGCGCTTTATTCATGCCAGCCAAACAGGAGAGTGACGCAAACCCAGTTTGAATGGGTGCTCCCTCTCCCATTGGTCGGCACGGACTTCCATGCGGCCAGCGGGAGCCCTGCGGTCGTGAGACCGACTCACAACCCCAGGGACCCTCTGGGCTGATGCGCGTCGCTCTCCTGGGCAGGCACGAGCAAAACCTCGTAGCTCCCAGGTAAGGGACAGAGATGAGGGGTTACTGGTAGGACAAGGAAAGGGAGGAGTGATAGCTCCGTTGGGAGCGGGTATGGTGATCCCTGACACCGGGATCAAAGACCGTGTACACAGGCCGTTCGGGAGACGAATGCTCCCCTTTGTAGACATTCGGTAATACAAACCGGTGGCCACCCAGGGTAAGCACGCGCCGCCCGTTCCCTTGCGGTCTGTGGTTTTCACACCTCGTTAGCGAAAAGAGGTGCCCCCAGTCGGTCAAAAAGTGTAGTGCAGGATTTTATAGTCAAAGTTATAGAAAAAGGAATAGGAAAGAGGGGAAACACATATTCTAGGAGGGTTCATCAACACACAAAAGAAACCAGGCAATTCACAGTTTAGGCAACCCCGCCACAGTATTGTATCCACGATTTTCCCCCTTTGTGTCTTTTACGTTTCCCCTTTGGGTGGCTTACTTTTCCCCAGCCCATTTGTGGGTCTCTTATTTCCCTCCAGCCCCTAATATGTATCTTACCACCCAGTCCATTTCTGTGTCATTGTTCCCTTCCCAAGACCTCTCTGTGTGTCACTGTTTCCTTCCCCAGCCCCTCAGTGTGTGTCACGTCCTCCTTCGTGTGTTCCACTGTCTCTTTTCTCAGCTACTCAGTGTGCGCCACTGTCCCTTTTCTTAGTCCCTCTGTGTCACTCTTCCCTTCCCCAACACCTCTGTGTGCCTTTCTTCCAACAGTCACTCCATGTGTCTCATCCCCCCCACCCAGTCCCTCCATGTATATAAAATCACCCCCAGCCCCTCTATGTATCTAATCACTCCAAGACCCTCCATGTATCTATTTCCCCCCAGGCTCTCCATGTGTCTAATCACTCCAATCCATTTGATGTAGCTAATCCCCCCAGCCCCTCCATGTGTCTCATTCCACCCCTGTTCCATGTGTCTCATTTCCCCCAGCCTTTCCATGTGTCTCCTTCCCCCAACCCCTCCACGTGTTTCATTCCACCCCTGTTCCATGTGTCTCATTTCCCCCAGCCTTTCCATGTGTCTCCTTCCCCTAGCCCCTCCGCGTGTCTCATTTCCCCCCAGCCCCTCCACATGTCTCATTCCTTCCCAGCCCTTCCACGTGTCTTATTTCCCCCCCAGCCCCTCCACATGTCTCATTCCTTCCCAGCCCCTCCACATGTGGCTAAACTAGAAAATTAGAAATTGATAGCTAAAGAATGCAAAACCAACCCCAAAACATTTTTCAAGTACATCAATTCTAAAAAAAACAAAAAATGAAAGTGTAGGTACACTTGAAACAGAGTTGGGTTTATTAGCTAATGAAGACCTGGAAAAAGCAGAAATTTTAAATAACTATTTTTCTTCAGTATATATTAATGAGGATCCTATGGCAAGAGATATGCAAATGATTGCTGCAAAAAACTTGCAAATAACTTGTGATTGGATAACTCGAGACAAGGTGCTACAGCTATTAAAGAAAATGTAAATAAAGCTCCGGGGCCTGACGGTATTCACCCACGAGTACTTAAGGAGCTAAGTGGGGAAATAAGTGAACCTCTGTATTTAATTTTTCAAGATTCTTTTGTTTCAGGTGTTGTACCGGAGGATTGGAGGAAGGCAGATGTTGTTCCTATATTTAAAAAGGGTTCAAAATCCTTGCCTGGAAATTATAGACCTGTGAGCTTAACTTCTGTAACTGGGAAAATATTTGAAGGGCTATTAAGGGATAATATTCAGGAATTCATTGGGAAGAACTTTGTTATTAGCAATAATCAGCATGGTTTTATGAAACATCGGTCATGTCAAACTAACCTAATTGCATTCTACGAAGAAGTAAGTAGAAGTATAGATCAGGGTGTTGCAGTGGATGTGATCTACTTGGATTTTGCCAAGGCATTTGATACGGTTCCTCACAATAGGTTAGTCTTCAAACTAAAAGAAATTGGTCTAGATGAATATTCTTGTTCTTGGGTAGAACATTGGCTTAAGGATAGAGTACAACGAGTTGTAATTAATGGTAAATTTTCAGGCTGGACAAAAGTGGTAAATGATGTCCCTCAGGGTTCTGTTTTGGTACCACTTCTATTTAACATATTTATAAATGATCTTGAAATAGGCATTGAAAGCCATGTATCAGTGTTTGCAGATGACACAAAACTTTGTAAAATAATAAAATGTGAGCAGGATATTGCTTTGCTGCAGAGAGATTTGGATAGATTGGGGGACTGGGCACTAAAATGGCAGATGAAATTTAACATAGAGAAATGCAAAGTTATGCACTTCGGGGTTAAGAATGCACAAGCAACTTACACACTAAATGGTAGTGAATTAGGGATAACCACACACGAGAAGGATTTGGGAATTGTTATAGACAACAAATTAGGCAGCAATATGCAATGTCAATCTGCAGTTGCTAAGGCCAGTAAGATTTTGTCATGTATAAATAGGGGCATAAATTCTCGGGATGAAAATATAATTCTTGCCTCTTTATAAATTGCTGGTAAGACCACACCTTGAATATGCTGTGCAATTTTGGGCGCCTGTTCTAAAGAAGGATATCATGGCACTGGAGAGGGTCCAGAGACGAGCTACAAAATTGATAAAAGGAATGGAGCATTTTAGTTATGAAGAAAGGTTAAAAAAATTAAATCTGTTTAGTTTGGAAAAACGGCGCCTGAGAGGGGATATGATAACTTTATACAAATATATTCAGGGCCAGTACAAACCTTTATCTGGAAATCTATTCATAAACAGGGCTATACATAGGACACGAGGTCACACATTTAGGCTGGAAGAAAGGAGATTTCATCTAAGGCAAAGAAAAGGTTTTTTTACAGAAAGAACAATAAGGATATGGAATTCTCTGCCTGAAGAGGTGGTTTTGTCAGAGGCCATACAGATGTTTAAAGTGAAATTGGATAAATACTTACAAAAACATAACATACAGGGATATAATTTCTAATTAGTGGGGTAATAGCTGCTTGATCCAAGGAGACATCTGACTGCTATTTTGGGGTCAAGAAGGAATTTTTTCCTGGTTTGTGACAAAATTGGAAGAGCTTCAGACAAGGTTTTTTGCCTTCTTTTGGATCAACAGCAACAACATTTGTGAGGAAGGCTGAACTTGATGGACGCAAGTCTCTTTTCAGCTATGTAACTATATAACATGTCTCATTCCTCCCCAGCCCCTCCACGTGTCTCATTCCTCCCCAGCCCCTCCACGTGTCTCATTCCTCCCCAGCTGTGTGTTATTTTTATAAGATATTAAACTCTGCCAGGGGATGCTAGACAGTGCACAATAATATTAATAATGCGATTAATAATAAACACAAAATTAATCCATGTTGGGATTAAATTCAGACAGCAGATAAGAAGTCCATCAAAACCCATCAAGGATAGCCAACCTGTGACCTGCCAGAACACACATTATACTGCTGCATGGATTATAGGAATTATAGTCCACAATTGTTTCAATCTAACATAAAAAAAAAAAATAGTAAGTTTAGGGTAACTTGTGCAAAAAAAAAAAAAAGTCACATTTTCCCAAACAAACTATTAACAAGGAAGAGTTCTCCTTAGACGGAAAAAGAAAAAAAAGTGGAGAGAAAACAGAAAAGAAGAGTGAGGAGGGACTGTGTTTGTTACTCTGTCTGTGCTCAGAGCTTCCTCCATGAATCTACTACTCTTAACACTGTAATACCGCTCGTAAAGAATGCATACGAACCATTACACAGAACTTCATACTTCTCTATTTAACTTAACTCACTGGTTGTTTTTTCTCCTTTGTGGAGTTTAAAAAAAAAAAAAAAAGAAAAAAAAAAAAAAACAGCAGGGGGTTACCAAATAACCATTTAAATATATATATATACACACACACACACACACACACACTTTTTAACTTTGAGACTGATAGAAATGTAAACGATTGCAGTGAGAATTCCATGAAAGCAACAGTTCAACAGTTTTATTCTTCCCAGCAGTACAAGCACCCCAGGGCAAACTAAATAGTTTTGTTGCTGTCGTCGGCAGTCAGTAAAGCCTTGGCTCCCCGGCGGCCCCTCCTTCTTGGTCCTAACCCAGGAAGAGAGTGACGGAGACAGTGCATCGCTGAAGGAGTTGGCAGATATGGCTGCAGAGCGTACACCCAGCAGGAGGAAGCAGTGCATTTTCCGCAAGGCTTTTCAGAGATTCCCCTTTGGCAAATGCGAGAGGAAAACGCGAAGCAACGGCAGCTACGGTAAGACTGGCCCCACCTGTTCCACAATACACTGCACACCTGAGCGAGACGAACCACCAGCACTGTGTGTAGGGCTGTCAGATCCACCATTTTCCCCCCATGGACAGGGCTGGATTATTCGTGCTGCGGAGCGGTACATGAAAAGTGCTAGATTGTAGTTTGGAGAATTTGTAGGAAGGAAATAAAGAAGGCCAGTCCCTGAAGAATCCCAAAGAATTGCCACGGTCAGTTAAAGGGAACTCTCCGAGCACCATAAGCACTGCAGCTTAACGTAGTGGTTATCGTTCAAGGAAACTACAGATGCTGGCCTTCTGTTTTTATTAAAACATTCTCAAGCATTTTGACAGAAATGGGGGGATTCTCCTCTGAATCTAAAGCCCACCCATGCAGCTTAAAAAAGGATGTCAACATTGAGGAAGTGACGTTTACTTTGAATCTGTTACTAAACTTTAATTTTAGCAAATTAGAAAAAAAAAAAAAAAAATAGATATAACCGAGCCCTGACTACAGCAGAGGTGGAAGGTTGTTCCAATTAAAATTCATTAAATGTCAGATAGAATAATGCTGCATGTGTTGGCACAGCCGCAGTGAAGGCTGGAAGCGGTGGGGTATATGGGTATAGGGGTACTGACACAGAAAATTAATGCAAGAAGCAAAGTTAAAAGGATCAATTGCAATTCAGCTCTGTCAAACTCTACTCAAGTATTTACAGCTTCTCATACAGCCTTGTATTTACACTTTGACAGAGAATTACATTTCAAGGGTGGATTAAAGACATCAGGGGATACTATCACTTCACAGCTTGAAAACAGATATTAAAAGAAAAAAAACACACACACAGACACACAAAAACCTTTGTGTTGTGACCACTACACTTTGTGCTGCTCATGGTAACAGATTTTGTTTATGCAGTATATGAATGCTACATACCACAGGCCAGCACTTTTTATTTTCTGCCCATCAGCATTTAGAAGAGATATTTACTATCTGTGTATCTGGCGAACTAACTGCTCATAGTGACTCCTATTAAGAATCGCAGCAACACTACAGGAGGGCATTAGAGTCCTTGGTTTGGAAAAGAACCTTTATGACAACAAACAGAACGCAGGCAAACACTCCCAGTTGGTAACCTCTTAGAAAGAGCAAGGAGAGTTTATTAAATAAACAGTGAATAGTAGTGGATTTAAAACCACATTGGAAAATCAATGCCAACATAGCCACTATGGAAGATATCTCCAATTGAAAAAAAAAAATTAATAATAATAATAATAATAATTAAAAGAGTCAAGCGGTCAGTCACAGTTTGACTTTTTTAAATTTGAATTATGCAATCAGGTTTTTTTTTTTAAATTCCTCCTCAGTTCACCGTTTAGCGAATAATCCCTCAAGTGTGCGGTCAGTGAGGTAAACCAAAAGGACGCAGTCAACAGATTTTCACGTTCATTAAAAAACAAGCAAATTGAAGGAAACGGAAAACAGAATTGCGAAATTCAGTCTGAAATAGCCTCGCTGTGACTGCAGCAATGTTACAGATATTTTCCAGGTCATCTGTTTTAGTCAAAAATTTTGCCAGATTTGCTACTTTGGACTTTATAAATAAATCTCTGTGTATTACCCCATTTATCTCGATACACAGCCTTAAGTGAGGTATTTCAGCTCCCAGATCAATACAATATCAGTTTGTGTACAGTTACTGATTAACCAGGCTAGTAAGTCAAACAGTGCTGCAGGAAGCGCTAGGAACATTTTTTTGTTTAGTAACCAAGCAGAATTTAACAAACAAAAAGTAAAATAATCAGAATTTCAGTAACAAACAAGTTGTGCAACCCCTGCTGTTTAGTGACAATAACTCACACAACACTTAAGAGGAAATACTCCAAACAGATTGCGATATTCCGCCTGTCCTGTTCTAAAATACAATTACAATTTGGAGGCGACAGGGCACTCCAGACACCATAACCACTACAAAGCTCTGTTCCACTACTGGCTGGGAGTGTATGCATTACTCTAGCAGAGAGTTTCCCCAGTTGTTCATGTGACAGGTTAGATCATAAGGTCTGACCCATGTGCCTCTCACCATTATTGCTTAGGTCGCAGTTAAGGTTAACTTTGCCGCCCCAGGGGTTTTCTAACTACATTTAACCCTAATGGCTACACTGCATTTGTTGTCATCTGACTAGCCAGCTTGTTGGACTTGTCGTTTTTGCAAATAATATCAGATTTTTAGTGACAGTTCCAGGTTTTTAATTTTTCTATCCCACGGTGTTGCTCGTTCAGCAATGGGTCTATTTAATGAGTTTATCTTCGTCTGCTCCTGAAGGGCCTCATATTATGGGTTAAAATCCTGGAGAATGGGGCTTAAAATAATATTTAGTCTTCCCCTGAAACTGTTCCAGGGCGTGCAAACTGTAATCACTTCAGAGTCACACACAAAAATATCTGAATCCTCTGTATTTAGAGTCACCGTAGGGACACTGCAATTATTTATTTCTGGTATTTATAAAGCGCCAACATATTCCGCAGCGCTGTACAATTAATGGAGGAGAACATGCTATATACACAGACAAATACAAAAAAGGTGGAGAGGGCCCTGCCCGTAAGCTGAGATCTAGTCATTCGAGCTCTTTTATACAAGGTGCTTAGCTAGATAGCCCATGAGCTTACAATCTACAGGATCTGGACAAGTGCCTCAGCCAAGACAATGACAGAAGATAATATACACATTAATATTGTACAGTTTAATATCATAAAAACACTAAACAACAAGCAGAAATTTAGTTTTAATGTCACTTTAAATTTCCAAATATTAAAAAAGGTAATACAAGAAGCGGAGGGAGCGCAAGACTAGCAAGTGTGTTGCCAGCATGCTGCAAATATGACATCATTTACATTAGGCAGCCCACAACACAGTTCTGGGCAGCCAATGTCATTTGTGCTGGGGGTGCCACTTGCCCCAGCACGCGATTAATAATAACTCTGTATGTGCACTATTTCAAGCTAAAACAATGCAAATGCATACTTCTACCACTATAACCACTTCAAATTACTGAAGTGGTCATAGTGGTTTGAATAACCATTTAATAAAGAAAGAAAATTCTATTTCTTACAGGGAGCACTATACACTACAGGACAACCACCACCACATTGTAGGTGTGGCTTGCTAGCTAGCTTCTCCCACACAGGTCTATATATTAGCTAAAACCACAATTATAGACAGAGTTATTTACTAAACTTGAGCATTTATCGTGAATTTCAAACTTGGAGTCAACGCAGCCAAACTGAAAAAATTATCTGTCAGCTATGCTTTCATTTTGCTTACTCGGGCCTTTAAAAGTCACATTGATTCTTAAATTATCAAAAGGTTCGCTCCAGTCAAATAACTGGATTCTATGATGAGATTTTAATATTGAAAAACAAAGCTCTTCTTTTTTAAAGGAATTTAATTCCTTAGGAGAACTGAACTATTAAATGTAATAATGTAATTGCAATTAAATTATTCTGTATAGTCAGATGCTGATGTCTCATTTCCTCATTTAATTTCTCCCCACCATGCATATACTCTTACAGGCACATATTGGGACCTATAAAGGGCAGCCACCCATAGCTGCGTAACTGCCTATCAGGCTCAGCCAGGACTGACAAGGTTGGATCCCTAAATGTAGACAGTGATGGTACGGTGTATTACCAAACAGAGTGGTTGATGTGAACGCACAATTATGACACCTCTAATAGGTGTAAACGAGGTCGAATAAACTAGTAAAAGCCAAGGTCAGGGACGCCAGAAATGGGAACAGACAAACTCAACAGAGAGTGGTCAAATAAACAGAGGCGTCCGCAAGACATAATAAAATTGAATTAGTTAACATATAGAGAATGCTGCAGAACACGTCCAAGAGGTCAGAATTGGCAATAAGGGGAGGGAAGGCTGTCTTTTTAAAGCCTCTCCACAGATGTGCCTAATTGATACCCATAAAAGACATGGGGAAAAGGGCACTCATAAGAGCGCATCGGAAGCGATGTGCGCATGAACTATACTAAATGGGGCTGGTCTACACAGCGGCCAGTGAGATTTAAAGCCACCCACCAACCACGTGTCCTAACATTTCAAATGGACAAAGAGGCACACTTTACATTTTGGTTACTTAATAATAATAATTTATGGAACTAGAATGTAATTTAGAACAAGAACAATGTATCTTATTTACACAGGCTGATTTCTAAACACATTTTTTGTAGTTTAAAGACACATTACTGGGAGTATTATTACTGTGGAGCTCTGTTATACACTCAGACACATTACTGGGAGTATTATTGCTGCGGAGCTCTGTTATACACTCAGACACATTACTGGGAGTATTATTACTGCGGAGCTCTGTTATACACTCAGACACATTACTGGGAGTATTATTACTGTGGAGCTCTGTTATACACTCAGACACATTACTGGGAGTGTTATTGCTGTGGAGCGCTGTTATACACTCAGACACACCAACAATATGGAGCTCCTAGAGAAGAGGGACATTAGGATAGAAAAGTGTGACAGAGTGATTTGGCCCGATATAGGGACTGTCCCTCCTAAATAGGGACACTTGGAAGGTTTGCACCATCCCGTGTCTTTTCAGTGCTTCCTGGACATCAGAGGCAAATCCCCAATTACGGTAGCGTAAACTAATCATTAAATACACTCACACTATGCAAACTGAACTAAGGCATTGAACTTATACAAAAGAGATTCAGAATGAGCCACTCTGGCTGCTGCTGGCCAGTGCGGCTGACAGCCAACATGCCCCAATTTGAGACATTGCCAATCCCCTTTTTTCGGCAGACCCAGCACTTGCCTCTTTACTTGCACACCCCTTTATGGCCGATCCCTTATACACACCCTTCAGTGTTTGGAAGTATTGAATATCTGTGTTCCCCCAGTATTATCACCGTGCTGCATCTTTGGGATTTAATTACCGCATTTAGGCCATTAACACTCACACTCTGGGTTATTCACTAGACAGTATAATGTATAGGACAAATTCTAAAACTTAGTCTAAAATAGTCAAACTGTGATTAAAGCAGAGTTGGAGAATTTTTCCAACGCAGCTATTTAGGTCTAAATTCAGTTTTCCATTTGCTGCAATTTAGTCATTGTACCCCTCTGTGTAATAAGTTGACAGATCTTATTTGTTAATCCCCTTATTATCTCTGTGCTGTGGTAAGGGCTTACTGCTCAAATGCAAAAAATTCAGGCATGTTTAGGCATGGCTTTTTATAGTGAAGCTTTTGCTGTGCCCTTAACCCAGTGTGTTCTACATTAATTGCCATCAGATAGACAGAGCGGACTAGCATTTAATATAGAGCTGACAGAGGCAGAGAAGCTTGTGTGTAACAGAACAGCGTAAAAACAGACAAAAAATAACTAATAATACACCCACTGATAGCAGCCATTTTGGATATTTGTGTGAATACCACCGAACGAAAAATAGGTATTTGCACACACGTATGCCTTACAATACATGCAATTGTTTATTTTGTTAGAATTATAAATAAAAAATTTAAAACCTACGAGTTAACCAAAATCTTAAAAGGTGTGATAACATTCACAGGCAGGAAAATTCACCAGAGTGTAAATTGTTGTGAACCAGAAGCGAAACTTAGAATTTTAGGCCAAAATTGTCAAATTGGAAAAATTAATTTTAGCCAAATTAATTTGGCAAAAATTTTAAATTCCTGACAATTCACACTTTAAAAAAAAACCTCGTATGAGAATTAATCATGGCGTGGAAATACCCACACGTGGCAACATAACCCCGGCCTATCTATTAGGATATGCAGTTCAAATAGGGTGAAGAAACCGCCAGAGGTAAATTCATTTAAGATAATATAGTTAAAACAACACATTCCGACCATAGTCAGGGTTATTCACTAAGGTGAGAATTCCAAATAAGTTCTAAAATGAAGGTAAAGCTGCTGGACTGAAAATACAACTAATTTAGAGAATTTTTCTAGATCAACTATTTTGGCCTTAAATTTGATATTCGCAGTAAATGCTCACTTTTGTAAATAACCCTGGTAATATCAATCTGGCAGAGGATGGTCGCTGTTATGGGCCACAGCATCTTATCGACAACCTAACATACAAAATACTGCTAGCCCTTACCTCAGTATGTAAAAATGCCGCCATTTTGTGCGTGCTCAAAGACCCCGTGCTCTTATGTGTGGAGCATTGTTAATGCATTGCTCAAATCATGACACTTGCAGGGTTAGTTGTTAAAGCAAGATTATTTTTTTTTGTGCATTTAAAGTGAATTTCAAATTTAAGACCAAAAGTAGTTGAACCAGAAGCAGACGATTTGGAGAATTTTTCCAGTTTGGCTATTTGAGCCTTCATTTTTTATTTCAATTTTAAATCATGACAATTCTTACTTTAGTGAAAAGCCCTGTGGGTTTGCAGACTATTCAAATTTTTTTAGTGCTACACCCCTGTAACCTATGATAGAACGTTGAAGGATTCTATTATACACACTTATGACCAGAGGCGGCTCTAGACTTTATGAGGCCTTAGGCGAAACTCAAACACAGTGGCGTACATACCAGGGTCGCAGGGGTCGCGGCTGCGACCGGGCCCGGCCCACCAGGGGGCCCGGCCGCCCCTGCGACCCGGTATGTAGCCACAGGGCCAGCCTCTTCCCCTGCGGGGCCCAGGAGGCGGCCACCCCAGGGCCCCCCGAGGCTGGCCCTGCCGACCCCGGCGGGCGGGTGGCCGGTCAGGCAGGCGGGCGCGCGAGGGAGCACTCTGCTCTGTGTGCTTCCTCTTCAGCTCCCTCGCGCACCGCACTGATATCGGAGCCGGAAGATGACGTCATCTTCCGGCTCCGGCATCCCTACGCGGCGCGCGAGGGAGCTGAAGAGAAGGCACTCAGATCAGAGTGCTCCCTCGCGCGCCCGCCTGCCCGACCCGCCCAGGAGCCCAGCAGCACCACTGGACCCCAGGGAATCCCCCCAGCACTCCAAAAGGTAAGGAGGCTGGGGGGATTTAAAAAAAAAAAAAAAACATGTGTGAGTGTTAGTGTGAGTGTTAGAGTGAGTGTTAGAGTGAGGGTTAGAGTGAGGGTTAGAGTGAGGGTTAGAGTGAGGGTTAGTGTGAGGGTTAGTGTGAGGGTTAGTGTGAGGGTTAGAGTGAGGGTTAGAGTGAGGGTTAGAGTGAGGGTTAGAGTGAGGGTTAGAGTGAGGGTTAGTGTGTGAGTGTTAGTGTGTGTGAGTGTGTGTGTCTGCTAGTGAGTGTTAGTGTGAGTGTTAGAGTGAGTGTTAGTGTGTGTCTGCTAGTTAGTGTGAGTGTTAGTGAGTGTTAGTGTGTGTCTGCTAGTTAGTGTGAGTGTGAGTGTTAGTATTAGTGTGTGTGTCTGCTAGTGAGTGTGAGTGTTAGTGTGTGTGTGTTAGAGTGAGTGTTAGTGTGTCTGCTAGTGAGTGTCAGTGAGTGTGTTACTGTGTGTGTCTTACTGAGTGTGTGTGTGTGTTAGTGAGTCTGTTTGATGTCTGTTAGTGAGTGTGTGTTTGTCAATGAGAGTGTATGTTTTGTAAGTGAGTGTGTATGTATGTCTGTCGCTGACTGTGTCTCTGCCAGTAAATGTGTGTGTCTGTTAGCTAGTGTTTATGCGTCTGTAAGTGTGTGTGTGTGTGTGTGTGTGTGTCTTCAGCACTTACCTTTCTCCAGTGCCGGACTCCCTTGGCGCTGAGGATCCCTCAGCCTCTCAGCTCCGAATGCGACCACGCACGCATTCAAACCGCCCATAGGAAAGCATTACTCAATGCTTTCCTATGGACGTTCAGTGTTCTCCTCTAGCGGCTGTCAGTGAGACAGCCACTAGAGGCTGGATTAACCCTCAGTGAAACATAGCAGTTTCTCTGAAACTGCTATGTTTTCAGCTGCAGGGTTAAAACTAGAGGGACGTGACACCCAGACAACTTCATTGAGCTGATGTGATCTCGGTGTCTGTAGTGGTCCTTTAAAGGACCACTATAGTGCCAGGAAAACACACTCGTTTTCCTGGCACTATAGTGCCCTGAGGGTGCCCCCACCCTCAGGTACCCCCTCCCCCCGGCTCGGGAAAGGGGGTCAAACTTACCTTTTTCCAGCGCTGGGCGGAGAGCTCTCCTCCTCCGATCCTCCTCTTCTCCTCCCCGTCGGCTGTATGCGCATGCGCGGCAAGAGCTGCGCGCGCATTCAGCCGGTCACATAGGAAAGCATTCATAATGAAAATCACAGTGAGAAGCACGCAAGCACCTAGACAGCCGCTAGAGGAAATAGGGGAAGGCTTAACCAATTCAGAAACATAGCAGTTTCAGAATTTATGAAAAAATGGGTTAACCCTAGCTGGACCTGGCACCCAGACCACTTCATTAAGCTGAAGTGGTCTGGGTGCCTAGAGTGGTCCTTTAAGTGTGTGTGCATCTACATGCACTGGCGTACATACCGCGGTCGCAGCCCTGTAACCTCTGCGACCAGGTGTCCACCGTCATGTGTTGCGGCCCGGCCCGCGCGCGCGGGGGGGGGCCCACGGATCAATTTTCGCACCGGGGCCCCACGGGTCATGTGTACGCCACTGCTCAAACATGAGGCCCCACTAACAAAAAAGTGTCACATATACACATTGAGGCACTGTCTACCTGTGTATGTGCCTGAGAGTGTGTCTGACAGAGAGTATCCTTGTGTGTGTGAATGTATGTCTCTGTGAGCATGTTTGCGTTTTTGTCTGAGACCGTATGTGTATGGAGTAGCTGCTTGAAGTGTGTTGTGTGTATGGGGGGGTGATGGTGAGAGGGAGAGGGGGGTGATGTTGTGAGGGAGAGGGGGTAATGGGAGAGTGGGGTGTGATGTGAGAAGGAGAGTGGGGAAGGAGAGGGGTGATGGAGAAGGAGGGGTGATGTGATGTGAGAAGGAGGTGATGTGAGAAGGAGGGGGTGATGTGAGAAGGAGGGGGTGATCTGAGAAGGAGGGGTGATTGAGGGGTCTGAGAAGGAGGGGGGTGATCTGAGAAGGAGAGGGGGATCTGATGTTGATGTTGATGGTGAGGGAGGGGGTTGATGGTGGTGATGCTGAGGCTGGTGGGGGGTGATGCTGAGGGTGAGGGTGGTGGGGAGGAGGAGGGTGATGCTGAGGGTGGTGGGGGGTGATGGTGAGGCTGAGGGTGGGGGTGGTGAGGGGTGGTGATGCTGAGGGTTGTGGAGGGTGGTGATGCGGAGGGTGGTGGGGGGTGGTGAGACTGAGGGTTGTGGTGAGGCTGAGGGTGGTTGGGAGGCTGAGGGTGGTGGGGGTGGTGATGCTGAGGGGGAGGCTGAGGCTGAGGGGGTGAGGCGATGGTGAGGGGGTGAGAGAGAACCTACCTTAATTTCCCTGGTGGTCCAGTGGGCTCCCTTGTGGTCCGGTGTCCATTGCTTCCGCAGAGCTGCAGACCATGTAATCTCGCGAGACCATCAGAGCGTTGCGGTGGTAACCCACGGCAACGCTCTGATTGGCCAGTTTTCACGAGACACGTGGTCTGCAGCTCTGCTCACTGCGGAGCTGCAGACCGGTGTCTGCGGTGGCTGGCCGGGCAGCCAGGAGGGGCCTCGCACCCGGCGGCATACCGGGCAAGCCGCCGGGCCCCCTCCTGGTGTCAGGTCCTCGGTCAGTGACCGAGGACCTGACACAGTCTGCCCACAGGTGGTTTAGGCGGCCGCGAGGCCCCAGCCAGCGCAAGACCTTCGGAGGCTGCCTAAACCGCCTAATTAGAGAGCCATCTCTGCTTATGACTTCAGCCCCCTTACTGCATCAATACAGTTATGCTGGTCATTGTGAACATGCAGTTTTTGCTTATTGTAACGGAGTGATTCACCTTCAAACAATTGGGGGGTTTCCAAATCCATCACTTGGATAATGATGTAAAACTTAACGCAATAATATCTGGCATAAAGTGCAAACATTGTAAGAAAAGGGGGATTTTCGTTATGTGTTTAAATTGAAAAACAAACGTTGGACTCATCGGAAGCAAAATAAACCGTGAGATTTAATCTGAGCTTGCACGTATAATATTAAGCAAACGGTCACCTTTGGGTAATAACACCCACACATATTGTATTGTTTGTCACAATGCAGCAAGATGAGGCCTTGCTAGTTTTATCCAGCAAACCGACATGAGCCAAGAGATTAGTGAACAAAAAAAAAACAACTAATTAAACAGCAGTCATTATGTCGCATGAATGTGGCAAACATGCAGCAATGTTATGGTAAAAGTAAAATGATAGAAAGAAACTTTAGGCAGGTTTGCAGATTTCGACACTGGTAGGCCAGAGCCATCAGACAGCGGTAAGGGTTAATAGTTTGGGATAGAAAGCGTTCCTCCTTTGTCAGTTAAGAGAAGTGGCCCAGCTGGTTTTTCCACCCTATCATGTGATCCCAGCTCATTCTGCTCTCCGGAAAATGTTAAATTCTCCGCTTTTGTTTTTAGAGGGCAGCTTGTTACTCATGCAAACAATGCTATATCCAAACATCCTGCTCTTTTGTAAAGCAACAGGTCTGGGTACATGATAGCTAGCAGATCTACATAAATGTAAAGTTTAAGAAGAGACATAAGTGGTGTGGATTAATTAAACTATAAAAGCATGTGTTATCTAGGGTATATTTATTAAACCAGGAGTTGGGGAGACTTGGCAAAGGGAATTGTAAATTTTAAGTTAAATTAGTCACACTGGAAAAAATTCTACAACTAAGCCATTTATTTATCTTGCCCATTTTGTCCTACGATTTGCATAGCAAATGATAGAACTAGCTGTAAATAGCCACATACGTGTTTAAGAAAGGTTTACAAAAAATCTCAACAGGTGAAGAGGTAAAACACGGGGAAGAATGAGGAATGGGATCAGTGAAGGTTAGAAAAAGTCATGGTAAAACCTAAAAAGTAAGAAATAATAGCGATTTGGAGTGCAGATGTTAATTTATAAGATTCTGTGCCTCGCAGGACGTAATCTACATGTTTTGCAGATGTCCACGCCAAAGATCCACCACAGCAGACAGCAGAAAAGTGGTCTCCCACCGATCAAGTGGTCTCTTCTCTCAGCAAGCCCCCGATGCTTCCATTGGCTATAATGGACTCTGAGGGACATAACAGGACTCTGATACCACATGCCGCAGACCCCATGCAGAACTCTCACAGAATGTTTGACAGTAACGGGGTCCAACCTGGCTTCTCAATGCCTTCGCTTCCCCTTGATGGACATCACAGTGACTCTATGCAGTTTTCGCATAACAGAGGAGGAAAGGAGGGCTTGGTTTCTGAATTCCCACCACTGTCTCCTGCAGAAGACGAGGACCCTCTTTCTGTAGCACTGCCACCATCCCCCAGCATTTCCAGTATGGGTAAGACCTTTTCTTCTACATACGTCTTTCTGACACGGGTACCTACCACCCTACCACTAAAATGTGCAATTCTCTAACTTGTCTTGTTGGTTCTGTTTAGGCCAGGCATAGGCAACCTTCAGCACTTCAGAAGTTTTGGACTACACCTCCCTTGTTGCATTGCCAGCATTATGGGTGTAAGAGCATTATGGGGGATGTAGTCCACAACATATGTAGTGGCAAAGGTTGCCTATCCCTGGTCTAGGCAATAGGTGTCAGCTGCCATAAACCCAGGCATGATTTTGAACCACTGTCCCATGATCCTAGGTTTTTCTGTTGAGTATTGCCTCTGTAGACACAATATAAAAATCCCCACAAGGAAAGTGATTCCATACATATACTCCCAATAACCCGATCATTCTCCTTTACCTGCTAGCCCACAGTGACATGCAGTTCCCAGCATCAACTTGCAGCCATGATCTAACAATCAGCCAGGTGGAGAGACTCCTCCCCTGCGGAGCAGCTCCACACACTGAGAGCTAATGAGCCGGTGTAACAGAGCCTGAGAAATGGGAGAAACCAACTGCTGGAATGTGGTTGACCTCCACCATATTTAATGGAATACCCTAAGGCTTCTTGGGCTGAAAAACACAACTTTTTTTTTTTTTTTTTTTTTTTAAAGGAACACTCCACATGAAAAATCATAAGAGAAAACAAGGTGACTATTTAGTACATATACCCCCAATGAAAACATGCATGCATTTAGTTAGGCATACAAAAAAACAAGGGGAGCTGCTACAAAAAAACAACAAATATCTCATTGGGTGTTAAATCCTAACATCTATACCAAATGCTATTAGAAATGCACTCACAAAAAACAGAATTTAATCCATCTCTCCAGATATATCCAAACGGCAGAACTTTTCATACAGTGTCTTCAAGAAACGTTCTCTCAAATTAGTCTCAGATATGTAAAGGATACAATTATCTCATAGGGTAACAAACACTGAAACAAATATTAAGCATTTATATTGAAGATACAGTGTATGCAGAAAAAGTGCTGACTTCAGCCTGTCTTTTTGCAGAACTGGTGATATGCCTTTAGATATTTAATTTTTTTCATTGTGAGTGCAATTTCATTGGTTAATAATTTGTTTTCAAATTTTATTACCCCCCCCCCCGGCACAGAAAGTGTTATAAAACCATCTATTTACTCACCCAATCCCAGCGCCAATTTCCCTCGTCGCTGGGTTGGCGCTGTGCGTCCTCCGATGTTATCCAACAGGGGTGACTACTGTGCATGCGCAGCAAGAGCATCATGCCCTCCCCATAGGAAAGCATTTTTTCAATGCTTTCCTATGAGGATTTAACTGGCCTGGATGTCCTCATGCAGAGCGTGATTATGTCCAGCGCCAGTTAGGTGACCAAAAGATCGGTAAGATCCTGGATGTGCCTCTAGTGACGGTCTGACAGACACTACTGGCAGTCTTACTGCTGTAATGTGATCAGTGCAATTTCTCTAAAATGGCAATGATTCACATTGCTGGATTACGTGAGACAGGGACATTGCACCCAAACCACTTCAGTAAGATGAAGTGGTCTGGGTGCCTATAGTGTTAAGATAAGATACTCCACACAAATATAGCCGATCTGCAAACTGAAGTACTTTTATGGGTGTGGAGTGATCCTTTTAACGTGATACCTTTATTAGAACTCATGTTATCTCCTGGCTAGCATTTGTTTATTTAAAATAAATGATGGCCAAGGGTGTTATCACTAAAGTGTGATCTAATGAGAATTCAAGAAAATTTTGATATTTTTGGCCAGAATTGCCAAATTGGGAAATGTGTCCAAGTCCGCTAATCCCGCTATGTTTTCAGTTCTCATATTTATTTACATAATTTGAAATATACTTTTCATTTTCAACAATTCACATTCCAGTGAATAAACTTTTACTTGTTCTTTTTTCGACATTTTGTTAAATGGATAATTTTTATATATTGTAGTGAGTTTTGGAAAATAATTTCTATTTTGTTTACTGAATGTCATTTTTGATGTTAAAGGATTACCGTACTCAGTGCCCCTAAAACATTTAAGTTTAATAATAAGAAGGCTTGGACAGGTGCCTCAAAGCCATCTAGATAGCATAACTTTCACTTCCTGGCCCTCATACCCAGGCATACCATGACATCACGTTCTGTCACAGCTTGTCATTCAATAATGGTCTATGATAACGGTATCATAGGTGGATTGTGGCAAGCACACTGAGAGGGCCCAAAACTAGCAAGGGACATGAAAATGGTAGCGTTCCTAATTTGTATTTTTGTTACAGAGACAGATGTTGAAGTGGACCCAGAGACCGGAGAACGAGCCATGGATTAGTCTGATGACATATTGACTGAAGTAAAAGATTCCTATCATATTCCGTTCTGCGATTTCCTAGCAATGTGCATTCCTGTTGCGGTGGACAAAAAGCAATAAACATGGATGTTAATAACCGCAGAAGACTGTAAACATTAGGAAAACAAAACTGGGAGATTTACACCAGAGGAGCAAAGACCTTCTAAAAGTGGATAATCCACCAATTTCTTCTACTACTGTGTAATATGGTAACGTGGAAGGTTCTTTTAACCCTGATCATTATTGACCTAATTTACCAAGAAAATATAGTGTACAAGTAATCACTTGGGTTTTCCAGCATAGTTACAACGAAAATACAACAAAAACCCTGGGAAGACTTACTCCATACTGGACATTTCTTTCTAGAAAGCATATTTTTCATGCTATAGTTTGTTTTTTATACACATGAAACGTTCTGTTACTAGACTGGGCAAAGGGGTGATGTGCATAACACTGCCATACGCAGTCAGACCAGATTAAAAAGCACCCTTCCTAAGGCCAAACTTTGTCAAAAAGGTGATCATCATAACTCTATCACGGTAAAACTTGGTTAAATGTTTGAAATGAAACACCTGTCTTTTTGTAAGCTAGACTTGTCTAAGGGTGATATAGAAGGTGGCCCACAATTCAGAGTAGTGTATGAGGAATCCATAAAATTTTTATGAATTAATTCATTTCAATGATATTACATACAATGAATGCTTAACGTATGGAGGTTTGTCTGACTAGGTGTACAAGATGACATCTTTTAAATTAGCGATATTTGCCGCCGCCTCGCAAAGTCGGGTTCTTTTGATTGCATTGCTCATTACATTAGTTAACGTTTGAGCCTCTAGCGCTCAAATTTCTCCTGTGAGGTTACCCCCCACCAGACGGTGCACTTCATAGGATGCAATTGGCGCTGATGAATTATCAGTTGATTTTCTATACCCAAGAAACAGTTTTGCTTGTTGACGGAGCCATTTATTTAACCCCTTATGGACACATGACATGTGTGACATGTCATGATTCCCTTTTATTCCAGAAGTTTGGTCCTTAAGGGGTTAAAGGAAAATGAGCATTGTCAGACATGAGTTGAAGAAAAAATGCATTGTTTTCTTTGGCTAACTCATTGTACTTTTGTGAAATTACCCATGATAAATTTCCCAAGTATCCATTACAATATGTACCTGCAACAACAAAAAAATAAACTACCAATAAGTCATTTACCTGTCAAATCCTACTCTGAACTTTTTCCCCACGCTGCACAATATCCTACCCACCCATAAGTGGTCAGAAAAGCAATATAGAGAATTCTGCCACTCTAGATCATGTTTGTCAAAGGGGAATAAAACAGAACTGTAGGTCAGAGCTAGTTAGATGGGCAATATACAGAAGCTGAACCCTGCCTTACTAGACAAGACTTACTTGAAGCGACAATACAGAGAACTCCACTGTACTAAAGATTAACTTGGTCAAGGAGTCATTTAAAGAATCTTGCCCCGATTGGTTAAAGATTGATATAAAAAATCCTGGCCCACTAGCTCAGAAGTAGGTAAAGGTTGATATACATGATCTTGCCTAATGAAGCCTGAAATTTAAAAGACCACTATAGGCACCCAGTCCACTTCAGCTCAATGAAGTTGTCTGGGTGCCAGTTCCCCCTAGTTTTAACCCTGCAGCTGAAAACATAGCCGTTTCAAAGAAACGGCTATGTTTACATTGCAGGGTTAATCCATCCGAGCGGGAGGGGGGCCCTGAGGTGGGGACACACACACCTAATAACCCTATAGTGCCAGGAAAACGGGTTTGTTTGTTGGCACTTTAGTGTTTCTTTAACCCCTTAAGGACACATGACGTGTGACATGTCATGATTCCCTTTTATTCCAGAAGTTCGGTCCTTAAGAGCTTAAACCTGCCTAAATCCTAAACCCACAAGCATAGACCAAAGCCATGCCTGTACCAATATTTATCAAGGTTAGTACTGGAGCAATCCCACTAGGAAATTCTAAAAGAGGACTGATCATCGTGGCAACATATGGAATGTTTTAGCTGATGGCTCTGAATGTGTAACTCAAAATTACTATGAATTTGAGTTGCTAATTTTATCAGAACATATTTCTACCATCTTCAAAGTGCCTTGATTGCCATAAAACTCAAATTCAAGCTCCCCTAATACACTCTGAGGATTTTGGGGTGCGTAGCGCAGGTTAGAGCATGGGAGAATGTCAGGTTTTTATTTCCAAGTCTTATTACATAGAAGATGCACCCATAATGAGAGTATTATGCTGGGAAAGAGCATTTTGTTCTGGGGAAATTTTAATCATGTTTTTAGCTTGCATTAGTTGTAGTAGGTAAGTAGTGTGAAAAAGTTGTTGTTTTTTTGCAGTTAGTATAATTTACAAGAAACTGGTAGAAAACATGATTGGCCAAAAGGAGATGCACAGCTGTTAGCTCTGTAGTGAATGTGGAGGTCCAAGCAGATGGCATGACAAGCATGGATGCTCTACCCAACAGTTCTTCAATATGGACCTGGCCAGAGCATAGATTCAATCTGGCATAAACCAGTGTCTAGAGCAAAATGTATTCAGAAACGATCTTGAAATAAAAATCTACAATTCCAGATCTTTGTGTCCTTGTTCAAGTTCAGCGGTTTGATTTAATCATGGAGGGAATTCCTTTGGCACGGTGGAGTCTGCTAGATTAAAGCAGTCCAGGTAATAGTAAGCAGGGTGCACCAGTTATGTCTGCATAATATAGCAGAACTACAACACATACTCGTAGCTTACATATCCATACAAGAGGACACCAAGGGAAAAAATATGCAGTGTCTTAAACGTCTAGGTGGTTATCTGAGTGATGTAGGACTGCCATGCAAAGCGTGAACAGCTCCCCGAAAGATCATTGTATTATAAACGAAAAACACTTGTGTTAATAAAACTTCCCAATTCTGATCTACAACTTTCCTATTATAAATTAAAGGGGTATTCTAAACACCATAACCACTACAACGCACTGTAGTCCTAGTTTTATGAATGGTTTGATACTTCTCTGGTCCCACACCCAGGGTGTCTGCACAGCTTACAATCTTCGGCGTGGCTAGATGTTCTAATTCCGCTTTAGTAATGTCCATTTTTTTCGTAACTTTTCAGGTCATTCATTGGCTAAGAATGCCACTTGTGGCACAAAATTGGTATTGCTAAAGCATACGAACAGTTTGGTATATACATGCAGACCAAAAGGAAGTAAGTGCCTTGTGTGGTCAGGTAAGTGTCAAACAGACTACCGTTTCATAGCGCCAAGGAATACCCGGTACCATAATCACTACACTAAAGTGGTTGTGGTGTTTATATTATCCCTTTAATAGTGTTACAGTTACTCCACTAGCTTAATCTATGCACCAAATATGATATTCTTTCTGGAAATAATAGAATCAGATTGTTACTTGAAGACATTTTCTATATTGTGTGGTTAACCGAATTGTAGCTATTATCAGATCACTGTAATTTATCTGCTAAATTGTGTTCGTTTTCAATAAATACATTGGTTTTCAAAAGAACAGTTGTATTTATTTAAACATCAATAACTAATTTGCAGGAGCACTTTACCTTGAAGATACGAAAAATAGCATTTTATACATTTTTTAATTAAAAAGACACACATTAAAATAAAACGGTAATTATTAATAAGTGGCACATACGTCAAGGAAGCAGATACAAAACAATTTCAGATAATAAAACAAAAAAGTTAGTCTGTAAATCAGAGAACATTGATTGGCTTCAGTAAACCTAAAAAAAAAATAAAATAATAATAATAAAAAAAAAAGACAAACAAGAAAAGACACGGATTATATATATTTTTAAACTGACATAAGATCATCAACATAATGAAAAACATAATTACGGTGTACAAACAAAATTATATACACACACACACTATCCAGAGTGAGTTTAGTGGATAGGAATGGATGAATTTATTTAAATTGCCTGCTGTCTCGTGGATAGCAGTTTGTCACTTCCTGTGTTTTAGTGATGTCATTATGACGTATAGGAAACAGCACCAATAACAGACGAATGATGTAAAAGGCAAGAGGAATGTAACAGATAAGATAGTGCAAGCTGAAAACACCTAGTTGGCTACCCGTTATTAGGACTTTCATATAAAGTGAAGGTCGATTTTCTGGGTTATCAGACCTTAAAGCCACCGGACCATGCAAATCAAGTGTGACAAATGAACAGCCATGCCTAGCAAACAAGATGGCCGAACTTTAGCGCCAATATCGATAAATATGGCAAAGAGAAAGCACTTGATGATGCATGTTAGGACATGAGTTAATACTACAATTAGTTCCGTAAAGTTAGGCAGAGTACCATATACACATTCTATACATAAAGAAAACATCACAAAACAATTCTTAATCGTTTTTCACCGTCAGAAGAATGTTCAGACGCACAAATCTTTTATCTGACGTCTGAGGATTTAAACAATGCGCTATGGAATTTACCTAGTACCCGTGTTCGCAATGGCTCTTTTTGTGAGCTTTATAGCAAACCTATTGAAAACCGCCCTGAGGATTTAAATACCGGAGGAAATTAATGTCAATTTGCTATTTGCTTAAAAAGTAGGTGTAAAATATGAAGGGGGGGGGGGGAATAATTACATCTTTAACCTTTAGAACTTTAAAATGTTCATAAATTATCAGAAAATAACACGTCTTAGTAAATGCAACCAAAGAAAGTAAATAAAAAGAACTATAAATGATAGGGAGTGAATGCAGCATTCAGGGGATAAAAAAAAAAAAAAAAATTCCCTAAAATTCCCCATCTCTCTGGCTCTGTCTGATCTTGAAAAACACAAGTGATTGCTGAGTGTACCTAATCAAATACAATAACAAACATGTACAAGACCAGACAACTGGCCAGACGAAAAAATAAATCCAATCGTCTTTTAACCTTAACTCTTCGTGGGAGAGGGAAGATAAGCAGAAAGAGAAAAATACTACCCGTTACACAAAACTGCTTACTTCCCCTCCCCAGTAATCCAAAATCTAATGCTTGTTGGCACCATAGGAGATAGTCTATCTGGAATAAAAAAAAAAAGAAAAATCACCAATCATTAAGTCTAGTTTACTTCTAGTTGTGATAAGTAGGCTGACCAATCTCCTGCAGTGCCATGTTGCTACCACAAATTCGATTCTCAAAGAGTTCATGTGCAAACTAAAAGAAGCCCATCTTCAAGTGTACAAGGCGTGAGTTGTGACTGCACTACACCACCGCCAGCCACCAGCTAATTAATAGGCTCATAACTAGAGTACACTCTATTTCGCAAAGAGAAGACAACGACTGCACCAACGATCAACAGCAGCAACGGAGTGCCGAGGGCCACTGCCATAATACAGATAACCAGCGTGGAAAAGGTGTCCTTGGGAGGTGTTCCGTAACCAATCAGAGCTGACCTGCAAAAAAAAAAAGAAGAAAAAAAAAAGGTATGTTATATAATTAAAAAAACTTGACGTGACATTTTATTTGAAGATTAAAAGGGTCAGTCTAAGCACCATGAAAACGTTGTTTGACTGTAAAGCTATAACACAGAGGCTATCCTACACCTAGGATGGAGTGTCTTAGTACTGCAATTACTTGCAATAATAAAAAAATTGCTGTGGCTGTATTTTTCGTTTCTCTTTTTTTTTTGCTTGACGGCAAACCGTTGTGAGTTGCGGGGTTGTGAGTAAAATTACAGCAGACATGGTTTGTCTGTTGTCATGTTACAGAGACGTTCCACTCATCTTAAGAGACTACTCCTGGTGGGATAACGTAGTCATTTTGTAAATTTCTGTATACTGGACATTATGGGGTATCAGAAGACACCATGGGCCAGAATGAGATGATACTGGTGGATGGAGTCTCTTCCCTTTTGAGGGAGAAGCCGGCTTCTTCCTACTGATTTTAAAGGAAAACTATAGCATTAGAAATACAAAACTGTATTTCTATCACTATAGCGTCCTCTGGCAACCTGCCCCCCACTAAAAGCAGCCTTAACCATGCAATGTAAACATTGCAATGTGCCTTCAGTGTAACCCCTAAAAAAAGAGGGGGGTATGGGGGTAAAAAACAAAACAAAAAGGACCCTCCAGACACCATAACAACTAAATTGGAATAATGTTATGGTGCCAGCAGGTTTCTGGTAACAGCATACTTTGATGGGTTAACACATTAACGAACAGTTTAATCCAAAAGTGCTGAATCCAGCACCGGTCAGCTATGACCCCCACCTTCTACATTTATTATTGGCTTGAAACAGGAAGTCTCGAAAGGCTTCGGACAGGGGCATCACTGACTGACTGAGAGCATCAGTTCTAAATCAATCCATAGCTTCCCATTCACAAAAAGGTTTGAAAAGCGTTCATATTTTAATTGTCTTCTTGTGAATGGGGAGCTACGGATTAGCTTAATGTTGACGCTCTCAGCCAATCAGGGGTGCCTGTCTGTGGCCGTCCAAGGCTTCCTGTTTCAAGCAAATGTGGAAGGAGGGGAGTCAGAGCCAACAGATAAAACTGTTCTTTAATGCTTTAACCCATGAAGAAATGCCGGTGCCAGGGACCTCCAGGCACCATAACAACTTAATTCTGATTCATTTGTCATAGTGCCCTTAGTGTTGCCTAAAGTTACACAATATGTATAAAAAGCAGGAAAAAATAAATAAATAACAGTAGAAGCAACAGATTAACTGGTGCACTGCATGGCTGAGGCAACATTCTCAGAACAGGTAGAATTCCACTCACCAACTTAAAAAATTGTGTTTATCATAGAAGTCCCCATCTGCAATCCCAAAGGAAACGTTGAAGGCCTCCACATTGTATCTCTCAATCAGGTCTTTTCCAAAGAAGGCATGGACAATGCTGGGAAACTGCAGAGATTCGTTCGTGAGCCTCAAGTCATAGTACTGGCATGGCAGTGAATCCGCTCTTTTGCCACCGACGGCACCATAGGCCACAGACTTCCACTGGAAATAACCTTGGGCATGGCTGTCATTCGGCATGTTTGCAATAAGCTGTGCGACCTGCAAAACAAAGTTTCTGATTAGGAGAAATGGTAACGGGAACTACGCACAATGGCCAGTCGATCTATGGAATGGCACATCAAGGAGCATAGTAACACGGGACTTTCATCACAAACACGTCTTCCTTTTGCAGATGTTACACTAAAGGCCCAGGAGCACATACCAGACATAGGAAGAATTATGGGAGTCCAAGTACAGGAGGCTCCTGGAGAGCTGCCAGCTGCCTACACCAGGTACAGCGAGCTATAAATGTGCTCAGATATATGATTAAAAGGGAAATTATGAAATGAAATGTGAGATTTCATGGAGTGTCACCAATGATTAAAATGACGAAACAAATTAGTTTCTTCTGGGGGTAAAACAACGGCTCACCTCAAAAATCGTTGGGGTATATTCATCATCGATTGAGCGTACAGACACCATCTTCTTACATCCCTCCTTCTTCTCCAAGGTGAACATCTCAAGAGCAAAACGGGAGTTGTTCCCCCGAGGTTTGACCTCTGACATCAAAAACTCAAGCTTGGAAGAGTTTGCTGTGTGGAGCAGGCGAGGAGAGGCGAGATCCCTCCCAGAACTGCCAAAAGCCGATACCTAGCAGAAAATAGGTGAAGAAGGGGTTAAGCAGGGATCATCAAATAACAGTCACAGAAATTAAAACATTAGGATAAAATAGTCATGCGGGGAAAATAGTCGAGTTAACTTCTTTCCAGTACAGCTATTTTACCATTAACAGTTTTTAGTTGCTTTACCCATACTGTCCCTCCTTACAGGAAAAGTATTTTTTATAAGATAATGTGTTAAAAAAAAAAAAAAAAATATATAAGGTAAAGTAAAAAACAACACACACACTGATCAGATATATATGATATATATATGTATATATCATGCCCCTGTCTCACTGCTCAAGTCTCTGACCTCCCTGCATGTGACTTACACAGCGTTCCTAAACACTTCCTGTAAACAGTCATCTAATGTTTACACTTCCTTTATTGCAAGTTCTGTATCATTTAGAATGTTGTATCTCCTGCTCTGTTAATAGCCTGCTAAACCCTCCTATGTGTGATTAAAGTTCAATTTACAGAGAAGGAGACAGAAACTTTTAAAGTAGGTTACATCTGATTGAAAATGAAACCATTTTGTTTTAATGCAGGCTGTGTCAGTCATAACCAGGGCTGCATAAACAGAAGTGATTTAACTCCTAAGTGGCAGCGAATTGAGCAGTGAGACTGTAGGGGCATGCTCTATACACCAAAACTGCTTCATTAAGCCAAGGTTGTTTTGGTGAATATAGTGTCCCTTTAAATGTACGATTGAAATCCATGGTCTTAATCTCGAATCAGATAATCGGCAACCAATGTTAATGCAAAAGGTATGGCAACAGAGAGAACAAGACGGCCCAACATTAGGAACTGCCTAGCCTAGTCACACCCATTGTGTAGTCTGCATGGGATCCAATTGCAGTTCAGGAATTAGGAACAGATTTGTGGCATTTAATGACCATCAGAGTCGTAGCTAATAACAGAAATTCTAACCCCAAATGATTCCCTAAAATCCCATAACTCACTCGGAAAATCACACTTCCATTCTGAAAGCTCTCCGACTTGTGTCTCCCAGTCAGGTTGGCAGTCAAGGAAGAGGTATTTAAAGTGGCATTTGCATTTTCCCACTTGAAGTCAGACAAGTTATAGGTGGGGTAGAAGGATTTCTCAGCGGTCCCAGAGAAATTTGCGGTGTTATTTACATCAGAGTACTCAAAGATCTGCAAAGAAAACAAATATAGGAAATGTAATGCCAGCACGTTCTTAGGTCCGATCCTAAAGGCACATCTTTTATTATTTTAAATATTGTTATAGCTCCTGTGCACTTTCTTGTACTGCATATATGTAAGTATACACATGTTCTCAGTGTATATATAATTTCAGGATTTGTGAAAACACACTGCTGATCTTTTAATACCTGGTCTATAGTTTGCGAAGAAGAATTTCTCAAAACACTATCCTCTCCAACTGCAAACAAACCCCGGGAATGCACTGAGAAGGGGGTGTTTACTTATACAAAATAATTCACACAGAGAATATAGCATTTGCGATCTTGAAGTTTAAATAATATAAAAATGACTCATCAGGGTCATTGTCACAGCCATGTCAGAGATATAAAACAGTGGGACTTTCCACAACACAGTGTGAGGTGTAAACTAGATTACATCCTACCTTATCAGAAGCCTTTATACGAACATATCTGTTTATCTATATGCAGCAAAACATATGTGGGACAGCTTTTTTCTTTTGTCCCCTCCCCCCAAAAAGTGGCCTAAATATTGAAATTGAAAAATCCTAACTATGTTTTCAGTTCTGCTAGCCTAGAAATGTTTCTAATAATTACAGTTGGGTTATGTTAGCCTAAATTTTGCAATATGAACTCTAATTGCAAGAACATTTTAACATTAAAGGGACACTATAGTCACTAGAACAACTACAGCTTAATGTAGTTGTTCTAGTGAATATAGTCAGTCCCTGCAGGCATTTTCATGTAAACACTCTTTTTTCAGAGAAAAGGCAATGTTTACATTACAGGCAGTGCTGCACAATGTGTGTCTCCATCCTCTGCATGGAGACGCTGAACTTTCCCCAAAGAAATGTACTGATTGAATGCATCTCTATAAGGAGATGCTGATCGGCCAGGGCAGAGTTTGGCTCTGCCCAGCCTCCTTGGCTGAGATCATCAGAATTGACAATCTCAGCCAATTCAAAGCTTTCTTATGGCTAAGCATTGTGACTGGCTGAGATTACCAATTCTGATTATGTCAGCCAAAGAGGCGGATCAGGAATGGGGCCATACACAAGGAGCCCTGCGTGGCGCTGGAAAAAGGTTAGTAAATCACACTAAAGTGTCCATGACTCCAGTAGTGGAGGCGGCAAGCAGCCGGCGGATTACTGATAAAAGAAATGTCTGACTATTTACAATGGGGGACAGATAACCATTACCAGGGACCAAAACAGTCTCAATTTCCGGGTCCTGTGCTGCTGCTCTGACTTGGCTCCCTGCTTTGCTACTCTTGGGGATACCAGGGGACTGACTCGAAAAAGCATAGCAATAGTGCATCATTTTATTCCATCCAACCGTGTCCAACTTCAAGGGAAGCAATGTTGAGGTTTATTAATACAGCACACTCTAGTGTTTATATGCTTGGAGTATTCATTTACACTTCTGGCAAATAGTTACATGAAAAACCCTCTAATCACCATGCACTTACTCTTGTGAACATCAGGGCAGTAGAGTAAAGGACACTGCTGGATGGCTGTATTGTGATAGCACCGTATGGTTCTCGTGATGTTAATTTGGTCCAATTAATGTTCAGCTCACTTGTCGGACTGGAGGTGTATATGAGGAGAGCAGTGGGGGCCCCGATGGTACTCCATACATAGTGAATGGTGCTGACATTGTCCACAGCACGTACATGCAAAAGGTTCACAGACTTATCACTGGTTCCAGGATTGTACTGCAGTGAAACCTACAATTTAAAAATAATAAAAACAGTAACTAAAACAAATTTCATACCTCCCTGGACAGAACAAGCTAGACACAGCAATAAGAGGAGACACTCGCTATTTCCTGCAAGTACTCGTGATCTCTATTTGAGGTTGTGATTACGAGGCTGGATATGGTTTAACTTTCATTTCCACAAATAATTCTGATATAACCCTTCACAGTGTGCATAAATCTGTTACTATAGAGCTTAGATGGAGTGTCAGAGTAAAAAGGGGGGGGGGGATCATGTGTTCCTTAATCAGTACTAATAAGCATTTATCAGAGAGCTGGAGGATAATAGGGCAGCACACAACCAGAGCAGCTAACTTTGATTAAATAGATTTCTCAACACCAGTGAAAGAGCCCACAAGTCCTGCACTCAAGCTGGGAGCTCCTGTGACCTGCACCTCTAATCTAAAACAAATACTAGCTGGATTTTTACTAACAACACAGGTGCCCCTTCAGCTTGCGTGCCCATGTAACGAACCTGTCCCATTTTGGTCTATTGAAGGCCACCACACGTTTTATTCAGAATATGAGTACCTATGTATAACAAGGATAAACATACACCACCTGCAGGTATCTAGCTTTCAACATATTAGAAACAAACTCCCCTCACCTCATTGTTTTCATTTCCAAACCTCTCAATGAAGGTAACAGATCAGCCCCTCTCCCTGCCCCAAACGCCATTGTTTACAAGTACTGTTTTATCACCAGACTATTTCATTCCAGATATGTCCCCTCACCAGCTCCCTTCCCTCAATTTACCAAGAACGTTCCTTCTGGCCGCTGCCACCCCAATCAGTACCCTTAGAAGCCATCACTCCCCCAGTAACTGCCCCCAATGTAAGGTAGGTACCCCCCACCCTCCTGTTACTGGCCTGTAACATGCAATGAGGCTGCTAAATAAAATGGTCAGCCATGGACACTCACCCTCCGGCTGTAATCGGTGTGCTCCCCCCGAACCCCCAGCCCGGCGCACAGTGTGCTCAGCGCAGCCAGCCAGACCTCCAGCCACATGTTTTCGAACGATCTGCCGGCCACTTCCGGTGTGTCATGTGATCAGTCAGCTGACTGCGGTGTAGGGAGGGGGAGTACTGCTCTTTCAAAAACACAACTACAAAGTCCCTGAGTGATATTCATACGCCGGGGACTGCAACTCCCATTACACACAGCCAGGGAGCAAGGCTTCGCGGGTTGATGTTTCTGGCAAGGATAAACTACTTTGGAAAAAATTAAATATGTAGAAATAATAACTTTTAACCCCAAGCTTCTGGAATAAAAGGGAATCATGACATGTCACACATGTCATGTGTCCTTAAGGGGTTAAAAAAGTTGATCTCTAAGAGGTAGAATATATGAAATTCCTTAAGTCAGTAATTATTGTGCAAAGGGATTTTTTTGTGGCTGTGTCTAGTGAACCCCTGTGCCATATTGCATTAGGGGTAAATGGATTGTCACTTTGTTTAAATAAAATTAAAATGAATTCTAGGCACCATAACTAGTGTGCTGTAGTAGTTATGGTGCCAAGAGAGCCCTGACACCTACAATGTAAGTAATCAAAACCATTTTGTAACAGTTCTGTTCCCCAGCTCAAGTACAAAAGGGAACCAGAGCCTGTCCAAGCTAGACCCAGCAGTGCAGGACTTCGCTCATTGGCTGAGTGAGATCGACTTATGTTCTCATCCAGCTAGTCCTGCATTACATGGCTTAGCTCAAGAGAAGGGAGGGGCTCGCATTGGCACTCCTGACACTGTAACCACTACGGCCAGAATTTGACAGTCACTTAAAATTGCTGACAGTTCACAATTTAGTTTATAACCCCAAGATGGTCCAGGTGTATCAATGTATAGATGAGAGAGCACAGCCGAAAATGTTATTAAAAGAAATTACAAATTACCTAACAATTTTGTCCTGTGTTGTGAAAAACACTCCAACAAAACGTTTATAATTTTAACAATTTAGTAGCTAAACCCCCACTGAAAACAGGCATGCAATTAAATATTTTTTAATTGGGTGCATATCTAAACAGCTTGCAAAAGCTTTAATTCTCCCCTTTTAACTCCACCCAAACATTCTGTGGCTATCCAGTCTTAGGCTACCGAATGCAGATCCGTGAGAAGTCTGTGCAAGGCAGGTACTCTGGGCAATTGAGGTTAGGTCTATTTGGGCTAAACAACCATGAAGTAACAGGACCAGTTGTCTGAGTGACAGACAGGGGGGGTCTAACAAAGCACATTTATACAACTACCAATTTCTGTTGAAGTCTAAAGTTTTAGAAAAATAGAAAAGGGAAAAAAACAAAAAAAAAAACCCCAAAATATTCACACACGTAAAGCACTTCAGCAAGCATACCTTTAACTATAATTCAGCAAGCTAGGTTTTTTTTTTCTTCTAGATTCACTAAACAGGAAGGTGTGACTTAAAGAACACTGGTAAATTTGGGTTGTGCAAAATCCTCATAACTTTCGTTTGTAACAACCAACACTCCGTGAATCATTGCAATCAGGCAGAATTCACAGCCCTCACTTCATTATTCACATAAGGCTAAAGAGAAATATACACAGTCAGAATTCAAAATTCATTTTTATTTTTGCGCCAAATGACGTTACAGGTAATCTCATTCTACACACTTCTCTATGACCCTTATCTCATACAGAAATAAATACAAAACGTTTCCCCTGCCAGGTCACAGTATAATGGAAGAGGACCGAGTATTCTCGAACAGCTTCAGTGCCATTTCAGGTGGGACATCCAGACAATACCATCTAGTCTTCTTATGGTCTTCATTCATGCTGAGGTGCTTCCGGGGCAGGTCGGCCCTGGTCTTCTCCCTTCTTCTTCTGGCCGGACACTATGTCATCTATACGCAGCAGCAGAATAGCAGTCTACGGGGGAGGAAGGAAGAATTTGTGAGCAAGACAAATGTACAGGTAAGCTGTGTGTATACAAATAATGTTGCATTTTAGATCTCGTTAGGGGTACCTCGCATCAATTATTGCAAACCACCCAAAAAGATGGGTGAATATGCGGGATGTATTGGTGAGGGACGCCGATGTATAAAGAGAAGGACATTGAGGAGTGGAAAAATTCTGCTGTGGAAAATTAGCAACTTCGAAAACAGGTATTAAAGGAAAAAAAATCAAAGGGGGCTGTAACACTTACCTCTACAGCAGTTTTGTAGGTTTGCAATTTAACAGCCATTGGTTCCCAAATTCCCAATTCCTTCATGTCCACAATTACCCCAGCCTCGCCATCTACACCCCAGCTTTGACATCCCTCCTGAGTATGCTTTGCCTGGGAGAGGGATGGGGGAAACAAGTTGCAGTCATTAGTCAAAAATATTTAGCAATTATTTTTTTTTTTTTAAGTCCAAGAAACAACTGTGTGTAAAGAAATACAATAATCTTGATACTGAAGAACCAGGTCAACAACACCAGGGACACAGCAGGGAGCAGAGACACACATTTGAAATTAGTGGTTAACAGGGAATACGTCTTTAGAGACGTTGCAGAGGACGTTTTCCAGAAAAGCATTTACTAACTAGCAATCAGAAACACTGAATCCTTCTTACTCTGAGAGATGTTAAGAGACGAATAGTGCTAGCTCCGCAGTTCTGTATTAGCGTCCTTGGAATGACTTCGAGTGCGTTAGCCACTGCGCGGTATGGCCACTGCTCCACCCCAGTCATGCCCTTGGATTTCTCGGTAAGGCTGTGTGCCACACTCATCTCAGTGGCTCCTCCTCCTGGCACCAGGTAGGGACTGATCATCACATTGCGGCAGACTTGCATGGCATCCTGAAGATTGCGCTCCACTTCCTGCAGTGGATAGAATTTAAAGTTAGAGACAAAAATCACACTTTGTTTCACTAGGACGTGTAGTCTCTGTGTGAATATACTACTGGCACATTTAGATAATGATCTGTTCTGTACATAGCCCCCAACATAATTGCATGCCCATTTTCAGAAATATTTGTATCCACTATTAAAAGGAACACTCCATGTACCATAAAACACATCTGATCCTAGTACACTTTATGGTGCAAGAAGAAAAAATAAATAAATGCAAAACAGATTTTTTTTTCTTTCTGGCCCCAAAACATTTACTGGGCAACGTGCTAGAACACACTCACCGCAAGAATCTCTTTGCTGGCTCCTCGGAGAACAATGGTGCATGCTTTTGGTTCTTTGCACTCTGTTATGAAAGCAAAATACTCATCGCCTATCTTTTTGATTTCAAATAGTCCAGATCCAGTCCCCACATCTTCCTCCTTAAGTTCGTCTGGGCGGCTGGCAATACGGGCACCGCAGGCTCTGTGTTAAAGAACAGAAAGGACTCTGTTTCAGTCTTTAAAAAAATTACAAATAAAACACAGACTTTCGGGACACGCATTTACCAACATTAATGCAATGGAAGACAGAATTGTTTTCATATTGTCTTATCTCCATGGTGCTATATAAAGCAGCGTTAAACACTATACATTCCCAAGCAGCAGAACTGTTGCTACATACATGTCTTAGAAGGACGCGGGAGTTAAGCGTGTTGTAGTCCAAAAGAAAACACCTTACAAAGACCTTAGTGGTCTCTTTACACCAGCACTCTCGTTCTAATAATGCAGAGTTACTAAATGGAACAATACAATGGGAGTTGATTTTAAGATATTACTAATAACGCAAGCAGGACCCTAAGAAACTTGGAATAAATTACTTTAATGCAAGCTAGTGTAATAAATGGGTTTTTATTCCCTGTAATTAAGAGATTGCAGTTCATCTCGGCTAGATACGCTCAACCCATCCATTTACCTGGCTATTCTGTTGTTGTCTGTCTTGCGTACTCTGCGAATGGCTGTTATGTTGGCTTTTACCAGGTAATGCTGAGCCAGATCTGAGGAAACAAAAAAAAAAACGTAGAATGAGAACAGTTGATCATACAATGGCCAAGGACAGAGAGCTTGATTGGAATTCAGGTTTATGCCAATTTAATTCATGGGAAAAGAGAAAAGGCTTTAACTCAAACCTTATGGGTGACTCATGTTAGTGTAAACTTTATGAAGTGAAACTGTCACATTTCCATTTTCTTGCACAGCCTGATAACCAACTAAAACTTGTTATGGACTGTGCTTTCATTTATGTTAAAAAGGTCTACATATTTTTTTTTTGCATGTTAATTTAGACTCCACATGTGGCAGCCCTGTCAAAAGTACACCATGTAAATTAATTTAACCCTCACACTGCCGCACGAGTACCGCACTATGGATGGAATGCTATAGTGAGCCCAGAGCATTATGGGATATCACCACCTTGGCCATGGTAATGCTGCTATATATGGTGTCTTTGCTTGCCTTCACAACGCACCCCTATAAGCCCTTAGAAAACATTTAATGGGGTGAGGGATGATAAACTGTTACCTCCAGAAAAGTGACAGTTCTGCTTCAAAGCATCAGCCAAAACAGTGCAGTCCATGGACCATCTAAAGCACTGGTTCTTAATCTTTTTAGAGAGGGAACCAAATGACACACACAGGACTGGGCTTATTACGAATCGATCAACGGGAATATTTCTACAAAGCCTGCAAAACCCAGTCAAAGGAGTCCCCACTGGACTGGGGTAGATTGTACAGAAACAGTTCCACCTTGGGTCTGATCACTATTATATTGTAAACTTACAGAAATCACATGGAGACCAGCTTTTAGGTACCGACCTAGGTAAGAATCACTACACTTTACTCACACTTTGATGGAACTGAGCGTAGGACAATCTCCTAGTCAAAACATCTGCATAAATATACAGGGCTTAAAATTTAATGTCCTGGGCTACTAGCCAGGTCTTAAAATTAGCTTGATACTACAAGTCATAGCATACTCAGTGGTAAAATAAGTATGTGCCATGGTCAATAGTTAGTGAAAATATTTTGCCCTTTATATACATGGTATAGATGTCTATATATGGAGAAACACTTCTCTGTGCAGACTTCAGCATGCCACAAATAAAACAGGTTTGTTAGACTACACCGCTACCTAGTGGCCTGAGCCCTGCAGTTGCAAACTAGACCGTAAACTATATACGCTGAGGAACTAGAGGGTTGTCTATAGAGGGGGGCTTGTATAGCTTATTGACTTGAAATCCCAATTCCTACAAACTTTCAATTCACAGATGTACAGAAGATTCTCAGAACCTAATTGGGTTTGCTATGGACAAATTCCAGGTCTCCGATATAGACCAGCATTAAGTATTAGCCTATGGGTGACAGGTCATGTGCAATAATGTATATATTTTCCATCCTTACCAGAGATTCCCTTCTCGGTGATAACAAGGTCTGGCTTGAGTCGGATGATGTCTTCACAGACCTGCTGGATGTACTCCTCTTCCATCTGCAGAAGTCTATTGAAGTCCTCTTCGCGTGTAATCTCAATTTCAGTCTGTAGGAAAGAGGGGGGATGAATCATGCACAGGTGTAAACATTTAAACTGTTATCCTAATTGTACCACATTGATTCTAACTGATTAACACTGCGCCTTCATTCTTACCTGGCTCTCCCCTTTCTTGTACTCCAACGAGCAGTCAAGGAGAACGATACGTGGGTTCTTGATATACCGACGCATTTTTGGGTGAGTGACGTCCTTGTTCACCATGACACCTCGCAGAACTTGTGAGTCTTCAATGATCCCTCCAGGTATCTGTCAAAACAGGAGCATTAAGTCAGCATCTATGAGTGAACTGGAAAAACATGGCAGTAATGCCAATTCATCAAACTGTACTCAACTGTGAAGGCAAATGATCACTCTAAGCACATAGCCATGCGATGGAACAGTAACCACATTTCAAAATTGTTAAAGAGGCACAGTAAGTACCATAACCACTGCAACACATTACAGTGGTTATAGTGCAAAGTGGCTGCAATAATCATGGTTTGTGTGAAATTGCGTGACCTGATTAACAAAGATGGGGTGCACCAGTCAAAGTCCTAAACCATGGTCTCTCTGTTGGGGAACCACTAATGCAGAAATGAACTTCAACATTGACCCATTCATGTTGGGGGCAAGTATTTGACAGTTTATTCAAAATCTAAATGTGCTCTGAATGGCGGCGGGCCATCAAGCAGCCAGTTAGATTATTCCATTTTGTACAACTATCTGAATTTGAATTGGCATGCTACTTTATATAAACAGCCCTATACAGACATTACTGGCTCTTTAAGCTTGTGGACTACAACATTTTAACAGCAAAGAAATTCAGAAATGTTACAGATCACACACACACACACACACACACACACGTTATTCTGCAATGCACTCCGCCTTAGTCCTTTCAGACTAAAACAATAAAGGTGGCGGTCTATTATGGACCCGTCTTGTTACTATGCAAACACTTTACATTTGTCCATTAGAAACCAACTGAAAAAAAACAGAGCCTCAACTTACTGCAAAGCCTATTGTGCTGAAGAAGAAAGAAATGGCCACAATCACAATGATAAAAGAAAGTGGGTGAAAATGTATGACATTTGCAATACCATAAGCACTTCAAATGTACTGCAATGTCCGCCAGGTCAACTCTAAACAGTTAACTGGGCTTGATATAAACTGAAAAGGCATTTATGACAGTTTGAAATGAACTTCCAATAACTAAATCACTTCAGCTTGCTTTCGCTGGACCGGAAGAGGAAACGGTCGTCACAGACAAACCGTATCTTTGGACAGAGTGGCACAGCCACAAGAAGCGGCTCCCCAGCAGATGTCAAGATGAGTAAGCCTTAATGTATTATTGGTGCCTGGCTCGTAATAGGATAAAGGAACACAGACAAAGATAAAACAGGATATTGGTTATAACATTGGAGAGTTCCTTAGTTTAAATCAGGGTTACCAAAGAGAAAGATCCCCCTTTTCCATTTTAAAACCATTAAGGAATTCTAAAGATATGCAAAGCATCAGGGGAATTGTAGTCCTACAACATCTGGGGATCTACCTATTGGGTACCCCGGAATCATAAACCCCTGCTGGAAAAAGCTTTCGAAGATCATAATCCCTCCCTCCTGACCAATTGCTCCTGATTAAATTCACAACCTGGTGGAGTAGTGGTTTGCCTATTACTGCAAGCAGACACACTGAGCAGTGCCCCAAGAGACATTTTCAAGTTAACTTTTCTTTTTTACAACTAAAAGTATCATCCATTCAGAGAACGTTATTTCAAGGACATCCTTGTCCATTAGCATGTATCCAGCCACAGGCAGCCTGTTACCAAACAGAGAATGCCAGGATATAGTGAGGGGTTCAGTGGGGTGAAAAGGAGCAGATATGCAACATAGGCAAAGCCCTGTGTTATAAACTGGGGTTCCAAGGACAGAGCAATCACGGTGAATCATACAATTACAACAGCTTCAGGGCTGTCATTACAAGAACAGTACGGCTTTAAAATTGTTTTTAAAAAAGTACCATTTTACAGTTAAAAAAAATAACACTGTTTAGTAGATAAACCCCAAATGAATACATGCCTAAATTTTGTATGCATGTAGTCATTGTGGTTGTATCTAGTAAGAGCCTGTAAATGCTTAAGTTCTTGACTGCAGCCTCTACAAGCCTCTCTTTTCCCCTAGAAGAGCTGCCCTTTTAGAGAGGAAGGGGTGCTGCAGGAAACAGGGGATGAGAACACGCAAAATTACGCACATACGCTGGCTTGTGCTCAGGAGTAAGAGGGAACACGTTACATTGCGGCAGATGGCAGACCATTTCTGTTCGGTAGTAGAGCAAACAGAAAGAGGAAGTTAACCTCCCATAAGTTCAATTTACTACCGGAGAGGTCGATTATTAAAAATGGGATACTTATTAGGCATAAAGTACTTCAGCAAGGAAATGACATGTAGCCAAGATCTTTGTAGGTTTTACTTTTATTTACAAATAGAAGTTGTGATTAGCACCATGCAATCTGTGCCTTATATAGTCACTGAACAGCATTGGTATTCTGATTGGCTAGGGGTTTCAGACCAATCACAACACTCCAATTAATTAACCTATGATGTTCTCTCATCCCTCTTTCTAAAACTACCAGGCTTTATGTTTCAAAGTAAGAGAGAACAGGCCCAACACATCTACAGGCAGACATTTGATGCTTATGAAAGCAGTTTTTGACTTACCTTTTCTACTTTAGCATATTTTTTGATGTCAAACTCCTTTTTGCCATTCTCCTCAAACTCCACAGTTTTTACGGCATCCAGAGCAATATTACATGCCAAGTCTGCCCAGAGTTTGATCGCCTTAGTGGTGACAGCACTGTTAATGATTTTCAGCATCAACTCCCTGTTATTAACATCAACCGGCGTGCTGCGAAAAAAGAAAATACAATGAACACAACTGCATGGCTAAAGAATAAGATTTTCAAACTGTAATAAAAAGAAGATTGAAACAAATTTATTCTGTTAAAGAAATGCTTAGTGATGGCATGCTGTGAGAGCATTCTTTTAAGCGGCTACAATTGCAGGGATGGGCGTAATTTACTTAAAGTGACATTTTCTAAGTTTCTAAAACTATAGTGCAAGGAATACAAAGTTCTATTCATAGCACTGTAGTATCCAATAGGTTAAAAACCATTCTGTCACTTACCTGAATTTTTTTTAAAAAACAAGCCTAAATTGCTGTACCATAACAAGTACATTTTAATCAACGAGTTATTCAATAAACTTAAAATTATATATCCCAGCTATTTGTATGGCTCATATCCCAATTACCCAGAAATTGTGTCTCGGAAGTGGGTATCCCCAAGAGGCAGGACATAGATAAGGTAGATAGACCAAGGTATTATGAACCCCCAAATAAATTGGGTGTTAGTGTTTTTTTCTCTCATGTTCCTAAGTTGGATCAATACATTCACAGACAGAGGTGCAAGCACTGTACCTAGAAGTTAAAATACTGTCTCATCTGCTGCCAGAGTGCCTACCTGCCACACAAAATGCAGTGTTAGTCAGTCTTACCTTAACTCATTAAGATGATTTATCATATCATCCAAAGCCTTGCGGTAAGCGCTGATAATCACAGTCGGATGCATTTGCTGCTCTAAAAATTGCTCAGCGACAGACAACATTTCACCGGCTGGGGAATATAAAAAAAATAAAATAAGCGGAACATTTAGACATACAGAACTTTGTGTATCCCGTTTAGGAAGTGGTTGAAACATCCAGGACACTTACCCAGAATGATGACAGATGTGGTCCCATCTCCAACCTCCTCATCTTGGGTTCGGCTGATCTCAATCATGGATTTGGCTGCCGGGTGCTGCACTTGGATCTAATACAGGAAACTTTAAAGTTAAAACAAGCCAAAAAACGGAATACCCAACACAATTAAAGGAACATTTCAACATTTGCAGTAAAACGTTTTTCTCGTGCTTTACACAGATTTTTCACATATTAGCTCACCTTCTTCTGGCTATTGTTGGCCAAAAGGTCCAAGGGCTGAAGTCTCCTATCCAACACAAACGACTACCAACAAGACTTAACATAAAGACCTATAAAGTATTGCCCACACTACACAGCAAACAAAGCTGGTATACTATGCCACCTTCCTAACTTCGTAACCTTAATCCTGACTAAAAAGAAAAAAACATGGAGACTCCTAGCTTATGGACACATAGTAACACTCTGGAACTTTTGGTAATCGTACACATGCCGTTTACCCAATGCAATTCAGTGCAGCAAAATTGGTGCTATATGGCAAATGTCCCAAATGCACCAATCAAATGCAGTGAGATTGCACAATAATGTGCTCTCATAAGGAAGCATGGACAAGTTCTTCCATGTGGAAGCTCTTCTCCTGGTTATAAGCGTGACTAACAAGAACACATTCATAGCATTGTTTCTTAAAACACAGAAGATTTTAGGTAAAGTGATATTGTATCTGCCAAAGTAGTGCTCACGGACCTCTCGTAGAATAGCATTGCCATCGTTGGTCATAACAATCCCACCCATCGGATCCAAGAGCATCTGAAAAGTAAAAGGAAATGTAGCTATTATGTTGTATAATTAGAAGAAGAGCAAAAGGGTATTAACATAAAAATGATCTTGCCATTAAGGAGTCAGTCTAAGCACTACAATCACTACATGGTGCTATTGTGGTGATGCTGCCAGGTGCCCCCTGGAGCTGTCCCAGAGAAAACGGTTTACAAATGGTTTGTTATTTATCTGATTCCTATGGTCACCTACAATATTCCCTCCTCCTCAGATATACTAGAAGAGAAATTTTGCCTTTCGGACTAGATATCAATTTCGACTCTATTTGGATGGAATTCATTAGTTGAGAGCATCAGCTGAAGTCTACAGCCAAAGAATTCTGTCCCAAAAAAATGGGCAAAATTGTGTCACTAATGAGGAAGTAGGGAATTCGGCAATAATGCTATCTAAAAAGGAGCCGGTCCTGGGGATCCAAGTATGTACCAAACTGACTGACCATAGTGGTTACAGTGCCTACACTACTCCTTTCAGGTAAGATACAAATTACATTTACAATTATTTTTTTAAATCACTACCTTCAGTAATTAGTGAGGAAACAGCAAAGAAACTGGAATTTAATTGTAGCTCAGTTGTTATATCAAAATAGGTGAACATATACAATAATCTATTAAAGTGTAACTGTCATGTACACACTGCTGACTTTCATTTAAAGATCATTAAATTGCTAGCTGAAATATAGAGTTTACTTTAAAGCCACAGTTTAGCCACTTGCCCACCTGTCAATTTGTGGAATTAGAGCTATATGCAGGCAGTACACAGGTCTAATAAAGAAGGATTGGGTGACAATGAAAGCAGGAGAAGTCCCCCCCAAGCACCTCTCTTGCTTTGTGTCACAATGTTTCTCTCACACTAACTGGGGCAGACATGTTAGCTATGAAGCCAGGATTGTCTGTGTCATCCGTAATGAATGCCCTGCTTGAGGTAGGGTCCCCAAGCAGTGACAACCTCAGAGGCCAAGTATGCACCCTTCAAAGAGCAAATGGCAACAGGTAAGATTGTATCAGTCCCTAAAGCAATAAAATATATAAATATTTATGTGTGATAAATTATATACTCCACTGATCACAACCAATACAGCCTGCTGAAGTGGTTATGGTGCCAAGAGTGCACTTGCAACCTCCTATACTAAGCAAACTGTTAAACAGTGCTAAAAATAATTCCATTACTTACCGTCGGACAGCAACAGGGCAACTCTGGCATCATGGCAACTACAATGGGCTGTGATCTTTTAAAGAGACTCTACTCACACCTTTAGCCTTTAAAAGAAAGGATCTGTGTGTCTAAATATAAAGTCACAATAAGGTGTAGAAATTTATGGAGAACATAACTTTATTTATACCTTGTATTTAGCACATTGCTAACAAATGCATAGAAAACAGGATCTGCAACAAAAAGATAACCACGGCCCTTTAAAATCAGCACAATTAATACTTTTTCAACTACAGATGACAGCTCACCTTCATCATGGCTCTTGGTCCCAAGCATGTCCGGATGATGTCTGCAATAGTCTGGAAATTTAAAGAGACAGCGCTTGGTAAAGCAGACCATTTAGGAGTTACACTCAATTTTAAACATTCGTGACACTTATTTGTACCTTGGCAGCATTAATGTTACCAGACTGGACCTTTCTTCCGGACTCTCTCCTGACGTTCTGACCTGTAAGACAGTGGTGAGAAGGAATTCTTAAATATGAATCATTCCTTATGTGTTTTATCATCAAATTTACCCAATTTACTGTATGGATTGCTCACAATCAGGCAAGTGAATGAGAATTAGAATGTAACCATATATATTTTGGCAATTAGAAATTCTACTCCCGCAAGAGCTGAAATTTTTTTTTTATTGGTGAAATGCCTGTGATATAGTCTACAAAGTGTGCAGGAACTTAGATATACAAACTGCAACTAAATAGGTCTTCCCTTCATTTGGCAAACATATAATGTGGTTACCCACACGGATGCATTAAGGGATTGTATAGGATTATCTATGAATTGAAGAGTTGGCTATTTTCTCTAATCTGCTACACGTAATATAGATCAAAGAAAGGAAGAAAAAAAAAAACAACAACAAAAACACTTTTTTGGTGGGAGTAATTTTGTTTTTGTTTTGTTTTAAGTGGTTTTAAAACTTTGAGTGTCCCTCTAATTTTTTTTATTTTTTTTTAAAGAGGGAGGTAGAGAACCAATTAGCATGTGCTAACAGCTATGTGTAGCCTGGTGCTATAGTGAGCAACACATTTCAAACTGTCACACAAACATTGATCAGCCACAACATTAAAGGGACACTCCAGGCACCCAGACCACTTCTGCCCATTGGAGTGGTCTGGGTGCCAACTCCCACTACTCTTAACCCTGCAAGTGTAATTATTGCAGGGTTATGTCCTCTTCTAGTGGCTGTCTGCTAGACAACCACTAGAGGGCACTACCGTGTTTATAGCACATGAAAAGTGTGCTATAGCGTCGCTGGACGTCCTCACGCTATGTGAGGACCTCCAGGGTTGCTGAAATCCCCATAGGAAAGCATTGAAAGCATTTTTCAATGCTCTCCTATGGGGAAGTCTAATAGCATTGGAGCGTTGGCGGACACTGAACCAGCACCGAGGGACATCGGCGCTGGATACAGGTAAGTCACTGAAGGGGTTTTAAACGGTTTGTTTGAGAGTCCCTTTAAAACCAATGAGAGGTAAAGTGAATAACAGTGGTTATTTCTTTACAATGGCATCTGTCAAAGGGTGGGAAATACTAAGCAGCAAGTTAACAGTCAGTTATTGAATTTCAAGTGTTGGAAGCAGGCGACATGGACAAGTGACAAAAATCTGAGTGACTTTGACAAGGTCCATATAGTTATGGCTGGGTCAGAGCATCTCCAAAATGGCAAGTCTTGTGGGGTATTCCAGGTATGCAGATCTTAGTACCGAACACAAATGGTGCAAACAAGGACTACTGGTGATTTGTTGTCAGGGTCATATACAAAAAAGGCGCATTGATGCACATTGTGGGGAGCGAAGGCTAACAAGTCTGGTTCGATCACACAGAAGAGCTGCTATAGCACATATTGATTAAAACGTAATGCTGGCCATGATACAAAGGTGTCAGAACACACACTGCATCGCAGTTTGCTGCGTATGGGGCTATGCAGGGTGGACAGAGTGCCCATGATGACCCCTGTCCTCCACTAAAAGTGCCTTCAATGGGGACGTGAGCGTCAGAACTGGATCATGGAGCAATGGAAGAAGGTTGCCTAGTCTGATGAATGAAGTTTTCTTTAACCCCTTAAGGACCAAACTTCTGGAATAAAAGGGAATCATGACATGTCACACATGTCATGTGTCCTTAAGGGGTTAAAATCAGGTGGGGAAGAGATGCACTATGGGAAGAAAGCAGCACAGCTTAGTGAGTGCTAAGCTTTGGGCAATGTTCTGCTGGGACACCACGGGTCCTTGCATTCATGTTGATGTACCACCAACCAAGAGATTGTTGCAAGCCGCATACACCACTTCATAGGAATAGTGTTCTCTGAAGGCAATGACTTCTTTCAGCAAGATCATGCACCCTTCGAATATTGTTCAGGAATAGTTTGAGGAACATAACAGAGTTCAAGATTTTGCCTTTGCCTCCAAACTCCCTGATCTCAATCCAATTGAGAATCTGTGGGATGTGTTGGAAGAATAAATCCATGGACACCCCACCTCGCAGGACTTTAAAAATTCTGCTGTTAATGCCTTGGTGCCAGATACCAAAGGACACACAGATATTGTGGAATCAACGGCTCAACGCATTAGAGCTGTTTTGACAACAGGTGGGTGACCTACACAATATTAGGCAGGTGGTTTTAATGTTATGATTACATGATATGTACATAAACACAAAATCAGAGATGACCTAGACGAGTGTGTGTAAATAACATGAGCATAGGATGGTTACACACAGGCTTAGATTATTACATCTGTAAATGATATTAGACTCAAGTTGACTGGTCACATACATACAAACACCACCAAGTAAAATGCAAATTTAGCTGTTGCACTGCATGCAAACGTTAAAGTGAGGAATGTCAGATTTAGCGCCACTGTCTAGGCGTAAAGGTACATGAAAATACATGTGTAATTTATACCAGTCTGCTTGGTCCCTGCACACACATACACAAATTAGGACACTATACATGTAACTGATTTACTGTTATAGCCTACGGTTTTGCATTTAACCTTATTTATATTAGAAAACCATGTGTAAATGATGTGTTAAATTGTCTTGCTCAAACCTACTTACATATCTCTCTAAAGATTAAAGGTAAAATTATCTCAGTTTATAAATTTATCTATCCCTGCTGTATATGGAGAATCAAAGAAAGTAATCTCACAGTGAGGGTCTATAGTGTCATACTGGGTGTCTGTCCATATCAGGCCCCGCTGTGACTGTTACAGTAATCTCACAGTGAGGGTCTATCCTGCCATACTGGGTGTCTGTCCATCTCAGGCCATGCTGTGAATGTTATAGTAATCTCACAGTGAGGGTCTGTCCTGTCATACTGGGTGTCTGTCCATCTCAGGCCCCGCTGTGACTGTTATAGTAATCTCACAGTGAGGGTCTGTCCTGTCATACTGGGTGTCTGTCCATCTCAGGCCCCGCTGTGACTGTTATAGTAATCTCACAGTGAGGGTCTGTCCTGTCATACTGGGTGTCTGTCCATCTCAGGCCCCGCTGTGACTGTTACAGTAATCTCACAGTGAGGGTCTATCCTGTCATACTGGGTGTCTGTCCATCTCAGGCCATGCTGTGACTGTTACAGTAATCTCACAGTGAGGGTCTATCCTGTCATACTGGGTGTCTGTCCATCTCAGGCCATGCTGTGACTGTTATAGTAATCTCACAGTGAGGGTCTATCCTGTCATACTGGGTGTCTGTCCATCTCAGGCCCCGCTGTGACTGTTATAGTAATCTCACAGTGAGGGTCTATCCTGTCATACTGGGTGTCTGTCCATCTCAGGCCCCGCTGTGACTGTTATAGTAATCTCACAGTGAGGGTCTATCCTGTCATACTGGGTGTCTGTCCATCTCAGGCCACGCTGTGACTGTTATAGTAATCTCACAGTGAGGGTCTGTCCTGTCATACTGGGTGTCTGTCCATCTCAGGCCATGCTGTGACTGTTATAGTAATCTCACAGTGAGGGTCTGTCCTGTCATACTGGGTGTCTGTCCATCTCAGGCCATGCTGTGACTGTTATAGTAATCTCACAGTGAGGGTCTGTCCTGTCATACTGGGTGTCTGTCCATCTCAGGCCCCGCTGTGACTGTTATAGTAATCTCACAGTGAGGGTCTATCCTGTCATACTGGGTGTCTGTCCATCTCAGGCCCCGCTGTGACTGTTATAGTAATCTCACAGTGAGGGTCTATCCTGTCATACTGGGTGTCTGTCCATCTCAGGCCCCGCTGTGACTGTTATAGTAATCTCACAGTGAGGGTCTGTCCTGTCATACTGGGTGTCTGTCCATCTCAGGCCCGGCTGTGACTGTTATAGTAATCTCACAGTGAGGGTCTATCCTGTCATACTGGGTGTCTGTCCATCTCAGGCCCCGCTGTGACTGTTATAGTAATCTCACAGTGAGGGTCTGTCCTGGGTCTATCCTGTCATACTGGGTGTCTGTCCATCTCAGGCCCTGCTGTGACTGTTATAGTAATCTCACAGTGAGGGTCTGTCCTGTCATACTGGGTGTCTGTCCATCTCAGGCCCTGCTGTGACTGTTATAGTAATCTCACAGTGAGGGTCTATCCTGTCATACTGGGTGTCTGTCCATCTCAGGCCATGCTGTGACTGTTATAGTAATCTCACAGTGAGGGTCTGTCCTGTCATACTGGGTGTCTGTCCATCTCAGGCCCCGCTGTGACTGTTATAGTAATCTCACAGTGAGGGTCTATCCTGTCATACTGGGTGTCTGTCCATCTCAGGCCCCGCTGTGACTGTTATAGTAATCTCACAGTGAGGGTCTGTCCTGTCATACTGGGTGTCTGTCCATCTCAGGCCCAGCTGTGACTGTTATAGTAATCTCACAGTGAGGGTCTGTCCTGTCATACTGGGTGTCTGTCCATCTCAGGCCCCGCTGTGACTGTTATAGTAATCTCACAGTGAGGGTCTATCCTGTCATACTGGGTGTCTGTCCATCTCAGGCCCCGCTGTGACTGTTATAGTAATCTCACAGTGAGGGTCTATCCTGTCATACTGGGTGTCTGTCCATCTCAGGCCCCGCTGTGACTGTTATAGTAATCTCACAGTGAGGGTCTGTCCTGTCATACTGGGTGTCTGTCCATCTCAGGCCCCGCTGTGACTGTTATAGTAATCTCACAGTGAGGGTCTATCCTGTCATACTGGGTGTCTGTCCATCTCAGGCCCCGCTGTGACTGTTATAGTAATCTCACAGTGAGGGTCTGTCCTGTCATACTGGGTGTCTGTCCATCTCAGGCCCAGCTGTGACTGTTATAGTAATCTCACAGTGAGGGTCTATCCTGTCATACTGGGTGTCTGTCCATCTCAGGCCAGGCTGTGACTGTTATAGTAATCTCACAGTGAGGGTCTATCCTGTCATACTGGGTGTCTGTCCATCTCAGGCCCCGCTGTGACTGTTACAGTAATCTCACAGTGAGGGTCTATCCTGTCATACTGGGTGTCTGTCCATCTCAGGCCCCGCTGTGACTGTTATAGTAATCTCACAGTGAGGGTCTGTCCTGTCATACTGGGTGTCTGTCCATCTCAGGCCATGCTGTGGCTGTTATAGTGTCTCACGGTGGGGGTCTGTCCCTGTCATACTGGGTGTCTGTCCATCTCAGGCCATGCTGTGACTGTTATAGTAATCTCACAGTGAGGGTCTGTCCTGTCATACTGGGTGTCTGTCCATCTCAGGCCATGCTGTGACTGTTATAGTAATCTCACAGTGAGGGTCTGTCCTGTCATACTGGGTGTCTGTCCATCTCAGGCCCCGCTGTGACTGTTATAGTAATCTCACAGTGAGGGTCTATCCTGTCATACTGAGTGTCTGTCCATCCTCGGGCCTGCTGCTTGTGACTGTTATAGTAATCTCACGGTGAGGGTCTATCCTGTCATACTGGGTGTCTGTCCATCTCAGGCCACGCTGTGACTGTTACAGTAATCTCACAGTGAGGGTCTATCCTGTCATACTGGGTGTCTGTCCATCTCAGGCCATGCTGTGACTGTTACAGTAATCTCACAGTGAGGGTCTATCCTGTCATACTGGGTGTCTGTCCATCTCAGGCCCCGCTGTGACTGTTAGAGTAATCTCACAGTGAGGGTCTGTCCTGTCATACTGGGTGTCTGTCCATCTCAGGCCCCGCTGTGACTGTTACAGTAATCTCACAGTGAGGTCTATCCTGTCATACTGGGTGTCTCTCTGTCCATCTCAGGCCTTTGTGACTGTTATAGCTAATCTCACAGTGAGGTCTATCCTGTCATACTGGGTGTCTCTGTCCATCTCAGGCCCTTTGCTTGACTGTTATAATGGCTCACAGTGAGGGTCTGTCCTATCATACTGGGTGTCCTCATCCCATCTCAGGCCCATGTGACTGTTATAGTAATCACAGTGAGGGTCTGTCCTGTCATACTGGGTGTCTGTCCATCTCAGGCCATGCTGTGACTGTTATGGTAATCTCGTGAGGGTCTATCCTGTCATACTGGGTGTCTCTGTCCATCTCAGGCCATGCTGGCGGCTGTTATAGTAATCTCACGGTGAGGGTCTGTCTATCATACTGGGTGTCTGTCCATCTCAGGCCATGCTGTGACGGTTATAGTAATCTCACAGTGAGGGTCTATCCTGTCATACTGGGTGTCTGTCCATCTCAGGCCCTGCTGTGACTGTTACAGTAATCTCACAGTGAGGGTCTATCCTGTCATACTGGGTGTCTGTCCATCTCAGGCCCCGCTGTGACTGTTATAGTAATCTCACAGTGAGGGTCTGTCCTGTCATACTGGGTGTCTGTCCATCTCAGGCCATGCTGTGACTGTTATAGTAATCTCACAGTGAGGGTCTATCCTGTCATACTGGGTGTCTGTCCATCTCAGGCCATGCTGTGACTGTTACAGTAATCTCACAGTGAGGGTCTATCCTGTCATACTGGGCGTCTGTCCATCTCAGGCCCCGCTGTGACTGTTACAGTAATCTCACAGTGAGGGTCTATCCTGTCATACTGGGTGTCTGTCCATCTCAGGCCATGCTGTGACTGTTATAGTAATCTCACAGTGAGGGTCTCTCCTGCCATACTGAGTGTCTGTCCATCTCAGGCCCCGCTGTGACTGTTATAGTAATCTCACAGTGAGGGTCTATCCTGTCATACTGGGTGTCTGTCCATCTCAGGCCCCGCTGTGACTGTTATAGTAATCTCACAGTGAGGGTCTATCCTGTCATACTGGGTGTCTGTCCATCTCAGGCCCCGCTGTGACTGTTATAGTAATCTCACAGTGAGGGTCTATCCTGTCATACTGGGTGTCTGTCCATCTCAGGCCATGCTGTGACTGTTATAGTAATCTCACAGTGAGGGTCTATCCTGTCATACTGGGTGTCTGTCCATCTCAGGCCCCGCTGTGACTGTTACAGTAATCTCACAGTGAGGGTCTATCCTGTCATACTGGGTGTCTGTCCATCTCAGGCCATGCTGTGACTGTTACAGTAATCTCACAGTGAGGGTCTGTCCTGTCATACTGGGTGTCTGACCATCTCAGGCCCCGCTGTGACTGTTACAGTAATCTCACAGTGAGGGTCTATCCTGCCATACTGGGTGTCTGTCCATCTCAGGCCCCGCTGTGACTGTTACAGTAATCTCACAGTGAGGGTCTGTCCTGTCATACTGGGTGTCTGTCCATCTCAGGCCCCGCTGTGACTGTTATAGTAATCTCACAGTGAGGGTCTGTCCTGTCATACTGGGTGTCTGTCCATCTCAGGCCATGCTGTGACTGTTATAGTAATCTCACAGTGAGGGTCTATCCTGTCATACTGGGTGTCTGTCCATCTCAGGCCATGCTGTGACTGTTATAGTAATCTCACAGTGAGGGTCTGTCCTGTCATACTGGGTGTCTGTCCATCTCAGGCCATGCTGTGACTGTTATAGTAATCTCACAGTGAGGGTCTGTCCTGTCATACTGGGTGTCTGTCCATCTCAGGCCCTGCTGTGACTGTTATAGTAATCTCACAGTGAGGGTCTGTCCTGTCATACTGGGTGTCTGTCCATCTCAGGCCCTGCTGTGACTGTTATAGTAATCTCACAGTGAGGGTCTATCCTGTCATACTGGGTGTCTGTCCATCTCAGGCCCTGCTGTGACTGTTACAGTAATCTCACAGTGAGGGTCTATCCTGTCATACTGGGTGTCTGTCCATCTCAGGCCCCGCTGTGACTGTTACAGTAATCTCACAGTGAGGGTCTATCCTGTCATACTGGGTGTCTGTCCATCTCAGGCCCCGCTGTGACTGTTATAGTAATCTCACAGTGAGGGTCTGTCTTGTCATACTGGGTGTCTGTCCATCTCAGGCCATGCTGTGACTGTTATAGTAATCTCACAGTGAGGGTCTATCCTGTCATACTGGGTGTCTGTCCATCTCAGGCCCCGCTGTGACTGTTACAGTAATCTCACAGTGAGGGTCTGTCCTGTCATACTGGGTGTCTGTCCATCTCAGGCCCCGCTGTGACTGTTATAGTAATCTCACAGTGAGGGTCTATCCTGTCATACTGGGTGTCTGTCCATCTCAGGCCCCGCTGTGACTGTTACAGTAATCTCACAGTGAGGGTCTGTCCATGTCCGGCCCCGCCGAGCTGCGGTGATGACATGGCGGATTCCTCCCTCTCTATTATAATAAATAGTCCCCCCAGCCCCCACTCACTGAGCACTAGCACCGGGCGGCCCATCATCTTGGCGGCGGCGGACAAACTGCGCTGCGGACCCGGCAAAAGGAAGAAGAAGCTTCTGGAGAAAGAAAAGAACGGCTCCTCCCACTGCGTGCGCACCCTAAACGGCACGTGACGTCCGTCTGACCAATGAGAACACGCCGCCGGATATCGCCGTCCAATGGGGGCTCGGCTTAGTAAGCTTGGTTGGCCGCGCAGCATGGAGATGGAAGCCGCATGGTGACCGTTGGGACAGTGCGCCTGCGCGGTGCTTCGCGAAGCATGCCGGGAGTTGTAGTTTCAGACCCCCTAGTGACAGTTTATTTCATTGCAGGCCTGGGAGTGGCATGCAGGGTGTTGCAGTTTGTAGATTTATATTTTGAGGCCCGCCCCTAACCTAAGGAAGTGTCTGATGACTAAATTAGGTATAGGGTAAGGGGATAGAGAGGGAGAACCTCCCACACACTGAATTCAGAGTACAGTTATAATACTGGGGGTAAAGCGACATGAGTGCTGATAATACACAGGCTGATAGAAAATAGACACGTTATCACAGAGTCCGAAATACCCGGTGTGAGGGTCCGAAATACCCGGTGTGAGGGTCCGAAATACCCAGTGTGAGGGCCGGAGAAACACACAGCGTAGAGTCCGAAATACCCGGTGTGAGGGTCCGAAATACCCGGTGTGAGGGTCCGAAATACCCAGTGTGAGGGCCGGAGAAACACACAGCGGAGAGTCCGAAATACCCGGTGTGAGGGCCAGATAAACACACACCGGAGAGTCCGAAATACCCGGTGTGAGGGTCCGAAATACCCAGTGTGAGGGCTGGAAAAACACACAGCAGAGAGTCCGAAATACCCGGTGTGAGGGTCCGAAATACCCAGTGTGAGGGCTGGAGAAACACACAGCGTAGAGTCCGAAATACCCGGTGTGAGGGTCCGAAATACCCAGTGTGAGGGCCGGAGAAACACACAGCGTAGAGTCCGAAATACCCGGTGTGAGGGTCCGAAATACCCAGTGTGAGGGCCGGAGAAACACACAGCGGAGAGTCCGAAATACCCGGTGTGAGGGCCAGATAAACACACACCGGAGAGTCCGAAATACCCGGTGTGAGGGTCCGAAATACCCAGTGTGAGGGCTGGATAAACACACAGCAGAGAGTCCGAAATACCCGGTGTGAGGGTCCGAAATACCCAGTGTGAGGGCTGGAGAAACGCACAGCAGAAAGTCCGAAATACCCAGTGTGAGGGTCCGAAATACCCAGTGTGAGGGTCCGAAATACCCAGTGTGAGTGCCAGATAAACACACAGCGGAGAGTCCGAAATACCCGGTGTGAGGGTCCGAAATACCCAGTGTGAGGGCCGGATAAACACACAGCAGAGAGTCCAAAATACCCGGTGTGAGGGCCAGAGAAACACACAGCGGAAAGTCCGAAATACCCGGTGTGAGGGTCCGAAATACCCAGTGTGAGGGCCAGTGAAACACACAGCGGTGAGTCCGAAATACCCGGTGTGAGGGCCGGAGAAACGCACAGCAGAAAGTCCGAAATACCCGGTGTGAGGGCCGGAGAAACGCACAGCAGAAAGTCCGAAATACCCAGTGTGAGGGCCGGAGAAACACACAGCGGTGAGTCCAAAATACCCAGTGTGAGGGTCCGAAACACCCAGTGTGAGGGCCAGTGAAACACACAGCGGTGAGTCCAAAATACCCAGTGTGAGGGTCCGAAACACCCAGTGTGAGGGCCGGAGAAACGCACAGCGGAGAGTCCGAAATACCCGGTGTGAGGGTCCGAAATACCCAGTGTGAGGGCCGAAGAAACACACAGCGGAGAGTCCGAAATACCCGGTGTGAGGGCCGGAGAAACTCACAGCGGAGAGTCCGAAATACCCAGTGTGAGGGCCGGAGAAACGCACAGCGGAAAGTCCGAAATACCCGGTGTGAGGGCCAGAGAAACGCACAGCGGAAAGTCCGAAATACCCAGTGTGAGGGCCGGAGAAACGCACAGCGGAGAGTCCGAAATACCGGGTGTGAGGGCCGGAGAAACGCACAGCGGAGAGTCCGAAATACCGGGTGTGAGGGCCGGAGAAACACACAGCGGAGAGTCCGAAATACCCGGTGTGAGGGCCGGAGAAACACACAGCGGAGAGTCCGAAATACCCGGTGTGAGGGCTGGAGAAACGCACAGCGGAAAGTCCAAAACACCCAGTGTGAGGGCCGGAGAAACGCACAGCGGAAAGTCCGAAACACCCAGTGTGAGGGCCGGAGAAAAAAACAGCGGAGAGTCCGAAATACGCAGTGTGAGGGCGAGAGAAACACACAGCGGAAAGTCTGAAATACCCAGTGTGAGGGCCGGAGAAATGCACAGCGGAGAGTCCGAAATACACAGTGTGTAGGCCAGAGAAACACACAGCGGAGAGTCCGAAACACCCAGTGTGAGGGCTAGAGATGGGATTAGACGCCCATGGTCTGATCTCAATTATGTGTCTGTTAGTCCACCCATTGTACAGCGCTACGGAATTTGTTCGCGCTATATAAATAATAAAATAATAATAATAATTAGAATGGGGAGTGATTAAAAAATTAAACAGAATATGATGTATGAATTGACATCCAAGAATCCAGAATATGTATGAAAGCACATGTACAACCTACATATCCATACAAACGTGCATACATACATATATACATACAAGCATATACATACATATATTGTATTTGTCTGTGTATGTATGTATGTGTCTGTAGGGCTCGAGTCCTGCAGGAACGTGTGGGAACGGCGTTCCTGCACTTTTTTCACAGCAGGAACGCTGTTCCCCCTGCAGGCACTAACCAGGGGGCGGCAAAATATGCCGTCCCCAAAGGCCCAGGCGGGTGCCTGTCTACCTATCAGGCTCGGCGAGGGAGCTATGTTCTACCAACTCTGCTCCCTTGCACGCCATTTGCTGATGCCGGGAGCCGGAATATAACGTCATATTCTGGCTCCCGGCATCAATAGACAACCCGTGAGGGAGCAGAGCTGGGAGAACATAGCTCCCCGCGTCTGATTAGAACACCCGCCTGCCTCACTGCAGCCCCAGGGACCCATCCATGCCAGCTTTCTCAAAAGGTAGGGAGGCTGGGTGGTTGGGAAATGTTAATTCTAATAATATTAATAATTTGTATATATGTCAGTGTGTGTGTATGTCTGTTAGTGTATGTGTGTTTGCGTGTATGTCTGTTAGTGTATGCGTGTCTGTATGTCTGTTAGTGTATGAGTGTTTATATGTCTGTTAGTGTATGAGTGTATTTACGTATGTTAGCGTATGTACGTGTGTGTGTATAAGTGAACGTGCTTCTGTTAGTGTGTATGTGTGTGTGTTTGTGCTTCTGTTAGTGTATGCATGTGTATGTTTGTGAGTGTCTGTCAAATCAGTGAGAGTCTGTTTGTCATTTAGTGTGTATGTGTTACTATTAGTGTGTGTCTGTCAGTGTGTTTGTTTTTCTGTCAATGAATGAGTGTGTGTGTGTCAAATCAGTGACGTCTGTGTGTTTGTCATTGAATGTGTGTGTATCTGCCAGTGTGTGTCAGTGAATGCGTGTGTGTCTGTCAGAGAGTGTGCTTAAAGGGACACTATAGGTACCCAGACAACTGCAGCTCATTGAAGTGGTCTGGGTGCAGTGTCCCAGTCCCCTTTCTCAGAAACTGCAATAATTACCTTGAGGGGTAACTAGAGGGACTTTCGGGTGGTTAGGTGAATAAAAGTCGCCTAATTGATGCTGGACGTCCTCACCCTATGCATGAGGACATCCAGCATCTGCTAAATCCCCATAGGATTTTAACCCCTTCAGTGTCGAGTGGGGGAGGGGAGGACACAAGGGAGGGGGCACTATAGGGAATTATAGTGCCAGGAAAACAGCTTTGTTTTCCTGGCACTATAGTATTTATTTAAAAGGAGCAGGAAAAGGTGGAGTCTAAATAGGACGGGGTGGGTTCTTAATCAAGAAGAGGTGTGCCCTTGACAGGAAGGGGTGGTTGTTGCGGAGCTGCAATTTTATAATCCCAGGATCTCTGCTGGTAGAATGCAATAACCAAGTACAAAGCTGGAAGCAGGCAATATTCCCAAATCCTCCCAAGAACCAGACGAAACACAGTCTGAGAGTCAGCTGCCACTTTATTCAAAAAGACTGATATTTAAAGCAGGTCACTCAACTGTCACTTTATTAAAAATAACTGATATTTAAAGCAGGTCACTCAACAGGGGTTTCCAAAGATGGGCAGCAGGGGTTTTGGTTGAGGGGACTGGAGGGAGACTACCGTTTCCAGGTCCTCCTCCCAACAGCCCCTGCTGTAACATACAGTAATGAAAACTACGAGGACATAAACCGTTACCTTTCTACTTCAAAATATACAACTTAGTCAGTTTTAATAGCAATGCTAACGAATGGGGAGGATTCGAACAGACATACACAGTACAGCATAAATTAAACATAGCCGGAGACGCCACACTATACCGGCGCGCAGTACACAACAGAAAATAGGCACAACCATTCTATCTTAGGCAGTCCCAAGTGGCTAGGTTTGCCACAATGCTCCCCCAAAACCAAGCCGGCATACACAGTCTGATCCCAACGGATCGGCTTGGGGATGTCCGGGGGAGTGCTCACAGATCATTTCTCAAGTTCTGTCTGTCTGGACAACCCATCGGCGTTACCATTCTGTTTTCCAGGGCGATAATGGATCGTGAAATCAAACGGCTGCAGCGCCAAACTCCAGCGCAACAGCCGGGCATTGTCTCCTGACACCCTGTGTAGCCACACCAACGGGTTGTGATCTGTGAGCAAGGAGAATGGTTGTCCATACAAATAAGGTTGTAACTTTTTGAGGGCCCACACCACGGCCAGGCATTCCTTCTCGATGGCGGCGTAGCCTACTTCCCTTGGTAGTAATTTTCTGCTTAAGTAAGCTACGGGATGTTCTCCGCCATCAGCTCCCACTTGGCTCAGTACTGCCCCCAATCCAAACATGGAAGCGTCTGTGTGAACAAGAAATCGCTTAGTTGGATCAGGGGCAGTTAACACAGGAGCCTTAGTTAATGCAGTTTTTAGTTCATGGAATGCCTGTTCACACTCTGGGGCCCAGTTGACCTGTCGTGGCAAGTTTTTCTTGGTCAAGTCCGTCAGGGGTTTGGCCAGGGCGCTGTAATTGGGCACAAATTTTCTGTAGTAACCAGCGGTACCAAGGAACGCCAATACTTGTGTCTTTGTCCTGGGGGTAGGCCACTTAGCTACTGCCTCTATCTTGGCCGGTTCGGGCCTCTGCTGTCCGCATCCTACCCTGTGACCCAGGTACTGCACCTCTGCCATCCCTATGTGACACTTGCTAGGTTTTAGTGTCAGCCCTGCCTCTCCAATACGGTCAATGACCACACTAATATGTTTCAAATGATCTGCCCAGGTCTGGCTATAAATGGCTATATCATCTAAGTATGCACAGGCGTACTCTTGGAACCCGTCCAGTAGCCGATCTACCATCCTCTGAAAGGTAGCCGGAGCGTTTTTCATCCCGAAAGGCATGACCCGAAATTGATACAGGCCAAACGGGGTGACAAACGCCGACTTGGGGATGGCCTCCTCGGCTAGTGGAATCTGCCAGTATCCCTTACACAGATCAATGGTAGTGAGATACTGGCCTCTTGCCATCCTATCTAGCAGCTCGTCTATACGGGGCATCGGGTAGGCGTCAGACACTGTTTTGTCATTGAGCCTCCGGTAGTCTACACAAAACCGCGTGGTGCCATCCTTCTTGGGTACTAGCACTACCGGTGATGCCCAGGGGCTATCTGAATGTTCGATAACCCCTAACTGCAACATTTCCTCAATTTCTTTCCTCATGTGCTCCCTTACTGCTTCAGGGATACGATACGGAGTCTGTCTCATAGGGAGCTGTCCTGGGGTCTCTACTCGGTGGGTAGCTAACAGAGTGTACCCTGGTAAATTGGAGAAGGTAGCACCTTTTGCCGCAATCAACTCCTGTACCTGGGCACGCTCCTGGAGACTTAGCCGCTCCCCCAGCTGCACACCTGTAGCGTTTTCTGCAGAATCTTCCTTTTCTAACATGTCTGGCAAGGGCAGATTCTCATAATCCTCAGTGGCTGGGGCACAGATGGCTGCTACCTCCTCTATTCTCTGGTGATAGGGTTTGAGCATGTTCACATGGAGCATGGGTCGTTTCCCTACCCCAGAGCACGGGCCGATCACATAAGTGGTGTCACATCTCTGTTCTACCACTTGGTATGGGCCCTGCCAGGTGGCCTGTAGCTTGTCTGTGCGTACAGGTTTCAAAATTAGAACTTTCTGTCCCACCTGAAAACTACGGTCTCTGGCTCCCCTATCGTACCACTGGCGCTGTCGCCGCTGAGCCGCCCGGAGGTTCTCCCGTACGGTTTGGGTTAGAGCCTCCAAGCGGTCCCGGAACTCCAGCACGTATGGCACAATGGGGACTCCATCTACACTGCTCCCCCCCTCCCAATGTTCTCTAATTAAGTCTAGGGGTCCCCTCACCCTTCTCCCAAACAATAACTCAAACAGAGAGAAGCCGGTAGATTCCTGTGGCACTTCTCGGTACGCAAAAAGCAGATGGGGTAAAAACCTCTCCCAGTCTTTATGGGACTCCCCAAATGTCCTGAGCATCTGCTTCAAGGTACCGTTAAAGCGCTCACACAACCCATTGGACTGCGGGTGATAGGCAGAATTTACAATTGGCTTAATGCCACATAACTTCCATAGCTGGTGGGTCACTTCGGCTGTAAATTGGTTCCCCCTATCCGAAATTATCTCTTGGGGAAATCCCATCCTGGAAAATATCTTCATCATAGCTTCGGCTACCGTTTCTGCTTGTATATTGGAAAGGGCTATAGCCTCTGGGTACCGGGTGGCATAATCCAGGGCCGGATTAACATAGGGGCTGATGGAGCTGCAGCTCCAGGCCCAGGCCCATGGGATAGGCCCATTTAAAAAAAAAAAAAAAAAAAAATTTTTTTTTTTTTTTACACACTACTCTTAGGTTTGCCACCTGACTGGTATTTTAATGGCACAGATGGTATTTGAGGATGCCTGGCCGTGCCGCTATTGCAGTAATACCGGCAATACAAATGCAGGTAATTTTCTCAGAATAAATGGAAATTACTCTGCAATACCAGCACCGGCCAGTAGGGGTCACTGTGCATGGAGAGAGGCAGGGATAGGAAGTAACAGCATATCCCTGCCTCTCTCTACTACTCACTGATCCGTGGGGGAGCAGCTACACAGCACAGAGAGTCCAGACAGCAGCTGCACAGCTCAGGTAAGTGAGGGATGGGGGGAACAGCAGCAGGGACACATGGGGACACTGAGACACTAGGGGACACATGGGGACACTTAGACACTAGGGGACATATGGGGACACTGAGACACTAGGGGACACTGACACTAGGGGACACATGATGACACATACACTAGGGGACACTGAGACACTAGGGCACATGGGGATGCTGAGACACATGGGGATGCTGTGAGACATAAGGACATTGGGAGAAATTGGGACATGGAGACACTATGACACTATGTCCAGTGTCCCTAGTGTCTCTGTGTCCCCAAGTCTCCCAGTGTCTGTGTCCCATGTCTCTCAGTGTGCCTAGTGTCCCCATGTGTTCCAATGTCCCCATGTGTTCCAATGTCCACATGTCTATGTCCACAACTGTCCCCATGTGTCCCCTAGTCTCCCAGTGTCTGTGTCCCTAGTGTCTCAGTGTGCCTGGTGTCCCCATGTCTCCCAGTGTCCATATATGTCCCAGTGTCCACATGTCTATGTCCACAACTGTCCCCATGTCTCCCAGTGTCCCCAAGTGTCTGTCTCCCAGCCAGTGTCCCCTAGTCTCCCAGTGTCCACTAGTCTCCCAGTGTCTGTGTTCCCATGTCTGTGTCCCTAG